ATTACAGTAATTTTTAAAAAGAAATATTTAAGAATAATTTATAATAAAATGTACAAATAAATAAGAAAGAAAATAAAATGTCGCGCTCTCAAGAAGCATACTTAAGAAGCAAACATTTTTAGGTTATGTTTATAATTTTTGGAGTAAAAATACAAAAAGAAAAATAATAACAATTACGAATTATTGACGTTAAACTCTTCGTCACATCCAAAATATTCAATAAAACTAGTTTCAGATTTAAATATAATTAAAAAAAACTTTTAATTTAGGAAAAAGTAGTATAGAAACATAACCTTAAATTAATTTTCATTTTACCTCTTTTTTAAATTAATGTTTTTCTTAATTTATTTTGTTATGTAATTTTGACAAAGAATTAAAATTCAACTGAATAATAGTGAATGACGATTATTATCAAAATTTCACACACAAGTTCATTAGCACTTAGAATTGTGTCACTTTATATTAATTGAAGAATATAAATAGTTTTTAACGATTTTAAGGTGAAATATTTTCGTATAAAAGTAATGTGTACTTCAAATTCTTGTTTTTAAATGTTCTAATTATTTAAGGCTTGCGCACATGTCTGATTTCAGTTTAATTTTCCATTTAATGATTGATAAACGTTTATAGTTTGATTAATAAGTGATATAAATTGTTTAAAAGATAAGAGCAATGGCGCGTAAGTGACAATTTGTAATTTTTGCGTTTCATTATTTTACAAATACTGTTATTTATTACTTATTGTTGTTATATAAAATAATAAAAATTTATTCCCTATTGTTATAAATATATAATTATAATTTATCATCTATTGTTATAAATTATTTTATTTATTATTCGTTGTTAAAAATTATTATTTATTTGTTGTTAAAAATTATTATTTATTTGTTGTTATAAACTATTATTTATTATTCCTCGCTATAAAATTGTTATTATTTAACTATTATGTGCCTAAAGATTCGAAATATAAAAAAAATTGTCGTTCATTTTAATTTTTTTATAAAATTTTTCTTTTAATATTTCATTCAAATCTGAATTTTGAATAATTTTGTTTGTTAATTTAGAAAAGTTTTGACAATTTATATAAATTGACAATTTATTTATGTAATTTCTAATTTAACTCTGGTAATTTTTGGAAAATATGTAAATAAGAAAAAAAATTTAATTTAAATAGAAATTCAAAATTTTTGGTAAAATTAAAACGCTTTTTTATTTTCTACTAACTTTATATTAACTCCGCTTTATAATTTTTTTTTATTTCCTGCTGATGGATTCAAAAGAATAAGTATATAAAAAAAGGAAAAAAAGGTATTAGAAAAAGGAAAATAACGTCACCAAGGAGAAAAAGATAAATCAAATTAATTAAAAATTTTCAAGTTGCGGATTTAATTATTTGTGCTAATTATAAATTAGATTTGATAGCAATACTAAAATGAACATTCTTCGGTAGTCTTAGTTGGAATTTTTAAAAACACGCGATAATATTTTTATCATTCAATAAATAAATACACTGCAATGGAGGTTGATATTTACAAAATTCTTTGGCTAATGTTTCACTTTATAACTTTTGCGACTTCAATTGAAGAAGAATTTGATATCAAATTCTTTCTTTAATACTTTTTAAATTTATGATTCTTTTATTTTTCACGTTATTTATAATTAATAATAATTATTATAACAACGAAATGTGTATAATAAACAATAATAATAATTATGACACTAATATATTTTTTATTTTTAAATTAAAAATTTTAAAAGTTTTTTTTATTTTTCATATTTTTCATTTATTTATTATTTTTGTATCACATTCATTTTTAATTTTCCAAGTTAATTGAAAAATTATATTTGTACTTTTATACTATTTCGAAATGTGTAACATTTGTAAATAACGGGCAAAAGCTAATAAATAATTACAAAATTATATGAATGGATTTTTTCAAAAAACAAAATAAGATCTCACTAAAATTACAAATCCAAACAAAATAACATCGTAATATATTTGTAAATAATACTTATAAATATTGTAATAAAATTTTAAAAAGTGACAAGCACACCATATATACAATAATGATTTTCTACAATTGTTTTATAACAATAGCCAAATCAGATAATGTTTTGTAAACCGGTACATGAGTACGAAGGTATCATAAAAAAATATAATAGTAAAAAAATGGCCAACTTCCGCAAAATAATTATTTCGAGAATTTCTCGTTAATACATTTATCACTCGCAGGGAAAAATTATATATTCGAATTAAATACTCCACATTTTGTTGTAAAGACCTAAATATCAGATAATTTGAAGTGTTTGTTTAACCTAAATAAATATTTATTTGATTCAAAAAAATTTGTGGTTCATTTAATAAATTTTTCTCTCGAGAAAAGTATTAAATCATTTGAACTAAATTTTTGATTTTGACTAAACAAAACATATCTTTTGATGTAACAATAATACATGTAATAATTAAATTTGACTGAAATTAAGTTCGATTAATTATAAAATTTTGAATTATAAATTATTAGTATTAATAATAATTGTAATTAAAATACCAAAATGTATGCACATGATTGCTTTTTCAGCATTGACGTCTACTATCTTTAGTTGTTTATCTACCGTTATTTTTAGATACCCAATAAAATAATGTAACTGGATAAATAGTTGTATTACTAAAAATAAAAATTATTAAAAAATATTTATTTTTTTATAAAAAGAAAATTGTAAACTCAATGCTATTGACTCACTCACTCAAGCGAAGTGTGAATAAATTACTACAACAAGGAATTTGTTTCGAATGCTCATAAATAATGTCAAGATCTAATTTTAAGACAAGCGATAAATTATTTCAAGTTGCATTTTCAAATAAGAAAACTTTTACTGGAGACAAATTTAATTCCAAAAGATAGAAATATTTGATGCAAATATGCAACAAAGATGCACATGCACTTTTATAGATTATTTAAAGTACTTCTAACAATATATATATATATATACATGCAATAAACGTATTCAAACGAATATCATGATTTATTTGAATCTAATCAGATAAAGAAAACGCTGAATCATTTTAGATGACTGGCGCAAAGTATCTCTTGAGAAATTACATGTTAAGATTCAATTAAAAATAAGCCTGCCTTACTTAAACTCTAATCACGTATTGTATTTGTCAGAAATTCAAATTTCAAAATTCACTCTCTTAATCTTCTAAATTCAACAACACGTGTGTTTATGTGATTTCAAAAAAATAATGTATTCAAGAAAAATGTATTTTCTTGATTATAAATTAAAAATTTTTTCTTTTCATGGTAAAATAGCTATAAATAATGCATTTTGATAAAAGAAAAAGATGAAAGTGATGACAATGATTCTTATCACTATTTCACATTTATTGCAATTTTTTATCTGATAAATATATCGAGTGATGATTAGTTGTTGTGAATGATTTAATCAATGTCAGACAGTAGTTATAAAGACAAAAGTATCAAATAATTGTGTAATGCATTAAGGATACTTTATGTTAAATCAGGTAAATAAAACATTTATCCATGCAAATGAGGCGTAAAGTAATTTTAATTTCATATTAAAATTAATTTTTTACTTTATAAAAAGCAATATTAATTTTTTACAAAAATTAGAATTTTAATAATTACCCTGCATTATAAGTTTATTAATTTTTGAAATTCATCGAAATTTAATAAAATTGTAACATTTCACAATAATTATTACTTGTTACGGAGTAAATATCTTTAAATTTATAAACAAACGTATTTTAAAATTATTTTTCTTTCGTCTTAGAATCACTGACGATCACTGAGAAGGTGAAAACTTATTTCTACAGCAAAAAGAAGTTAGTATCAGGTAGTGAGAAAATTTTAGGTTTTAACCATTTTTTTGTCAAAATTTAGCACATCTGCTTCTATTGTATTTAGGAGGATTGCCTTGCAGTAAAAGGACAACCGCCATGTGTATTATTCTACCTAACAAGGGTTATATTGTTTTATGACGGTAACTCTGGTCGACCGCTTGCACTCCCTCACTATCTTTATACCTGCACCAAAAAAAACCTCTTTTTTTTGCACAACCATCCTTTTCCAAAAATTCCATGCTTGCCAGATTTTACATTATTTTCAAAAATAGATGTTGCCAAATGTACCTGACAACTGCATTGCTCTTAGGTTAGGACCAGCTCTGTTAGGATTACTTTGGTCAGAATACGAGTAATCGCCGGACTCACTACATCTCGGCAATGATTACTCCAGTCCGCGTACTCAAAAGTATTTTTAAACACAATAATAACCCCTCTTATGTATTCAGTGTTGGTTTTTTAATGTTTGATTGTAATAAATTAAGATATTTTAAAATATTAATTTATTGTTACAAAGTTATTCCTTTCCTAAACCCACAACCAAACATTACTTTTTTGTTACGCGAGGGAAAATTATTGTTGAATTTGAAGAAGAAATAAATAAATTTCGTTCATTTAAAAGTTCAGAATTTTAGAGACGTCAAAATAGTCTCTTATTTAATTTCGAATTAAAATTAATTTTTTCTTTAAAAGAAAACAATATTAATTTTTTTGAACAAAACAGAAATTTAACAAAATTATAATTTAATTTAACAAAACACACTGTACTATGTTTACTAATTTTTTAAATAAAACAAAAAGTATAACATCCAAAAAATGCATTTTTTAAAAATTGTATTAATTTGTACTAATGAAATTAATTTTTCAAAGAAGACTTTGCTTTTTAGCGTAATATCGTTGAAAAAGCTCTGAATTTAAGATAGAGTGTAACTCATAAAGCAATTAAGACAAGAGTGTTATCGTACTGTGGCGAAACTTGTACCGCACCATTCTTGTTAAAATTGGGATTTATTCATTTGCTTTTCTACGTAACTATATTTGATAACATGATTTAATAATATTCAGCTATTGTGAAATTGTGTCGTTTTATTGAGATTTATGAATAGAGTATAATTATTTTATTTTTGTTCTGTTTCAGGTGCTGTGTGAAAAACTAGTTTTTTATGTGAATAAATATTTGTAAAGTATCAATTTTTTCCTCATTCTCATTATTTATTCATATAAATTTAATTTGTTAATTGAAGTAAAAAGTGCATCAATCCAATGAACAATTTACAAGATGGATGCAAGAAAAACACACGTCAATCCAAATCCTAGGGAAAAAGCATCTTGCATTTCAGTTTTATTATGGTGGTATGTATAAACAATATAAATAAATTAATTAGTAAAGGTAATTCTTGAAATAGTCAACTTTTAATGTAATTCAATTTCTATTAAATTTTTCAAAAGAATTCAATTATTTTTAACAATATAATATCACACTAAAATTGTAAATCCAAACAAAATAACAGCACAATATGTTTATTCTAATTATTCGCAAACATTCTATTATTTGAATACAATTTCAATTAAATTCGTGGAAACAATTCAATTAAGTATTTTTTAATTTTTAATAAAATTTTATGAAGCAATTCAATTATTTTGAATATTTCAATTTCTTGACTTGGATTTCAATTATTTTCAATTACAATTAAATTCCTCGAATAAATTCAATTACTTTTCAAAATTTTAACGAAATTCTACGAAATAATTCAATTATTATCAATTTCAATTAAATTCTTCGAAAGAATTCAATTATTTTAAATAATTTTATTATAATTTTTTGCGAAAATTCAATTATTTGAATAAAATTTCAATTAAATTCGTCGAAAGAATTCAATTATTTTTTAATCTTTAATAAATACTATGACACAATTCAATTATCTTGAATATTTACATTTCTTGACTTGAATTTCAATTATTTTCAATTTCAATTAAATTCCTTGAAATAATTCAATTATTTTTTAATTATAACAAAATTCTACGAAACAATTCAATTATTTTTAATTTCTTTTAAATTCTTCGAAAGAATTCAATTATTTCAAAAATTTTATAACAATTCTTCGCAGAAATTAAATTATTTGAATACAATTTCAATTAAATTTGTCGAAAGAATTCAATTATTTTTTAATTTTTAATAAAATTCTATGAAACAATTCAATTATCTTGAATATTTTTAATTTCTAGACTTGAATTTCAATTATTTTCAATTTCAATTAAATTCCTGGAATGAATTCAATTATTTTAAAAATTTAAACAAAATTTGATAAAGCAATTCAATTATTTTCGATTTCAATTAAATTATTCGAAAGAATTCAATTATATTTATAAATGGTAAAATGCTTAGAAGGAATTCAATTATTTTTAAAAATTTTAATAAAATTCTTTATAAGAGATTTCAATTATTCTAAGAATAATTTTAACTTTCTTTATAAGAATTAAATTGTGCTCAAAAAATGAAGTAAAATTTTTCACAGGAATGCTATTATTTTCAATACAAATTTAATAGGATTTTTGCCAAGAATTTTATTGTTTTTAAAAGTTGTAATAAAATTCTTCGTACAAATTTAATTATTCTCATAAATAATAAAATTTTTCGTAGGAATACAATTATTTTCAATAAAATTTGAATAAAATTTCTCAAAAAAATTCAATTACATTTAAAAAAATGTTTAATAACATTTTTTGAAAGTATTCAATTATTTTCAATAGAATTTCAATAAAATTTCTCGAATGTATTTTATTAGGATTTTTCAAAATAATTGGCTTCTTTCGAAAAATTAAATTATTTTAATAAATATGTAATAAAAGAATATTTCGTTGAAATTCAATTATCTTTAATACAATTTAAATAAAATTTCTCGAAAAAAATCAATTATTTAAAAAAATTTTAATAAAATTCTTTATGCAAAGATAGTTTTTTCAGAATCAAAATATACTAAAAGTTACAAAAATTCATAAAAATTAGTTTTTCTATACAATAATTTACAAATTATTATTTTTACGTTTTGGAATATTTTAATTTGTTTGTTTTATTATTTTGCAATTTTTTTTAGTAAATTTTCTTTTGCAATGATTTGAATTTTTTAAATTATTGAAATTTTTTCAAATATACTTGAATGCGAAAATTTTTTTTCTTTACTTGTTTCATCTAAAATATAATTAAATGAATATTAATTATTTTAATTCTTTTTTTATTTTCTTCTTTATTAATTTGAAATTTTGAATGAAATGAAAATGAAAAAATGAAAGGATCAATGAAACATAATATAGAAAATTGAATTAAATTAATTTAATTAATTTATAATAGTAATAAGTTTTATCATTTAATTTTCAATACATGATGAAATATATTATTAATAAAATAAAACTCAAATTACAAGAAGATATAAAAAATGTCGTTCATGATAACATTTTTTTAGAACTTGAGGAAAATTAATAGATTTTTAAATTTGAAATAATTGTTATAAGTTAATTATTATTGCTGTAATAGAAATTTACTATTGGTTAAAATAACAATCAATTGAAATTACCACATGTTCCTACCACTCGATTGTAACCCCTATTGTTTCGAAATTGTACAATCAATTCTGTAAATATTATAGTCCATATAACAAAAGACAAAACGACACATTTTTTTAGTCAGAATAAGGCATCTATTTTTAATTGTATATATTTCAGATAAAACAAGTACGAAAAATATATACAAACATAATTTTATAAAAAGATTTCAAAATTGTTAATTAAAAAAAATATTCTTTTTTCATACAATTTTACAATTTATGAACTATTTTTAGCTGGACAGTACGTCTTTTCAAAACAGGATACACAAAAGTACTAGGGACCGAGGATTTATTCGACCCATTAAAAAAAGACAAATCATCTGTTCTTGGGGACAGACTCGAAGCGTTAGTATTTTTTTAGTAAAACACTATTTTCATAAATTGAGAAACAATGTCACTTTTAAATTTAATCCATCACCTCTTTTTCAGACGATGGAAAATAGAAGTAGAAAATGCGAAGAAACACAAGAAGAAAGTAAGTTTATTGAAAACAATATTTCGAACTTTTCTCTGGGAATATTCTCTTCTTGGTATACTTCAGATATTTAATGAATTTGTCTTAAGGTTTGTGAAAATTATATACATATATATATTATATACTTAAAAATTATGCACTTTAATTTTTCAAAACTTTTTTCACAAGTCAAAATAATAAGTACTCCAGATAATAAATAAATAAATTTTTATTAAGTAATTTCTATTTAAAGTTATTTAACTGAATTTTACTTTTTTGCAATTTCTGCGACTAATCATCTTCTATGGTTATGAGATTCATCTCTCTGGAGAACAAATCTATTTTTGATTGACATACCGGCACATCAAAATTTGCATGGGAATTATATCAAATATATTCGTGTCAGCGCCACAAGAAATTATTTTGTCAATCTAGAGCTCTAGTTTGTGCTGTTTTTATACATAATATAAATAAAGTAACAATAATTTTCATTTTTCAATAATAGAATTTTTATATTTGGCTGATTCTTCTAAAGTTACATTTTTGGTCTCTTGATTAATTTTATAAAATACTTTCTAATAATTATTAACCATTTTCATCGTAAAAATTAACTTATCATCAAAAAACTTTTAAAAAATCTTAAAAATTGATTTAAATCCGTGTCAGAATGTACAATGTATATATATCATTACATAAGAGTAAATGATTAGGTACAGATCTAATAATTTTATGAATATTTCTTGTCATTTCGTGACAATTAAAATGAGTTCGTTATTTATGTAAATTACAGATTGGGAACTCCGCTACTTTTAGGAGGTTTTTTACAATATTTTAAGCCAAATACAGATGTTCCATATCAAACGGCACTTATTTTTGCTGGAGGAATAAGTCTAGCGTCCGCTATAAATGTGATTACTTTAAATCAATCGATATATGGTGCTTTCCATATCGGAGGCAGAATACGTGTTGCTGTTTGCTCACTTGTCTATAGAAAGGTATTTAACTCATTAGTCATTATAACATGATTCTTAAATCAATTATTTCTGCTTGAATTGGTATTTTGAAATCTATCATAAAATATAGAACAAAAAAAAAAATATTCTTTCTTAATATTCTCACTACTAGTGACTATATATAATCAATAAAAATTGCAAACTAATTTATTTTTTATTTAAAAACACTAGTAATTAATTAATTAATCTAAAATATTTAATTTCATAAAAAATTCAGGCCTCGGATCGACTTTAAAGAAATTAACATTAATTACTTTTCATCTTCTCGTTAATTACTTTTTAAATTTTGATAATTTATAATTTTAATAATTTATAATTTTGATAATTTATAATTTCGATAATTTATAATTTTGATAATTCATTATTTTAATAATTTATTTGTTTCAAATAATTAATAAATGGAAAAATCCAATTTAAAAGTCATACCTGCACATAATTCATGTCATAGATAAACTTATTCAGTTAATTATTTTGTAGGCTTTGAAACTTAGTAAGACTGCCCTGGGAGAAACGGCTCCAGGGAAAATAGTTAATTTAGTCGCAAACGATGTCAACAGATTTGATCTCGTGTCGATTTTTATCCATTATATGTGGTCAGCTCCTCTCTCAGCTTTAATTATAGCATATTTCTTATATTATCAAGCTGGATATGCTGGACTTATTGGAATTGCTGCTGTTTTTGTCGTCGTACCAATTCAATGTAATTTTAACTATTGCACTAATACCTCCTCTCTTATGAGCTTTATACTCTTCTTTAATTTCTTTAACATTCCAAATAACAGAACAACAAAGTGATCCATTATTTTCTTCAACCATGTTCAATTTTTTAATTAGATTTCGTTTAAAAATTATCTATTAAATATAATTAAAAAATTTAACTCTTACTAAAGAAAACATTAGGATCTAAAATTTGTAATTGTTAATTGTAACAAAGACAAATAATTACAGATTACAAAATAAGAAAAAAATATTCTATCTATTGATTTTACTGAAAAAAATTCTATTCGCATTTATAAAAAAAACTGTTAACTTTATTCAATTTTTAATTTTGCAATACAAATGAATCAAATTGAAGAAACTTGGAACCAATTTTTAAAAAGAAGTAAATCATTCTGCAAATAAGGTAATTTGCTAAATGCTAACTGGTTTAAGATCAAATATTTGTTTTTTCTACAAACAAGTTATGATTCTATTTGAAGAGTGATTTACGTGTTTGCCTTTTATCTGCAAAGTTGTTTTTCTTAAAAACTTATCTGAACAGGCAAATATTATAGACCAAAAACATTACTTGCAGAAACAAAGAAAAAAAAAGTTTAATTTTTAATATTTTTTCAGCATACACTGGGAAACTTTCATCAATATTCAGGTTACAGACTGCAATCAAAACGGACGAGAGGGTGCGACTTATGGATGAAATAATCTCAGGGGTTCAGGTTATAAAAATGTACGCCTGGGAAAAACCATTTTGCGCTTTGGTGGAAATTGCCCGAAAATTGGAATTGAAGATAGTCACGAAAAGCTCTTACATTCGGGGAATTTATATGACTTTCAATATTTTCACGACTAGAATGGCTCTGTTCTCGACATTACTAGCAATGCTGTTGTATAAGGAACAACTAACAGCGGACAAAGTTTTTGTCTTTTCGTCCTATTTTGCTATTCTAGCACACACAATGTCTGGTATGTTCGTTCGAGGTTTTGCGGAAATTGCAGAGTGCATGGTGGCTGTACGAAGATTGCAGTACTTTTTAATGTATGAAGAATTTCAAGAAGTAAATCCTCATATGCATCAGTCGTACAGTGCGAATGGTACGAGCAACAAGAAGGCTGACAAGAGAAATTCAATCAAACCTGATCTGCCCTTTATTGACGAGGTTCTTGCCGAAGATTTGAAGAGTAGTCAAAATGGATTGCTGGTACTTGCCAGTGATCTTTTGAAAAACACTGCCAACTGTGTTGAAGGTAATTTGGCAAATTCTTTTTACTAGAAGTATAGTAATTTAGTCAGGGTTGGTACAGATTAGGAATATTTTATCAAAAGTACTGGTAAAATAACAAACTTCTAGAATTGTGTCAGGGAAAATCATTTATTTTTACTATATAAGACTATAGTGATTACTTATCATTAAAGAGAATTTGTTACAAAAAATAGGCGTAATGGATGATCCGCCAGAGACTTGGGCCATCAAACTAGACAATGTAACAGCAAAATGGGAGCCTGGCCAGTCAGAAAATACCCTGGAGAAGGTTAACCTGGAAATAGAGACCGGAAAACTGTACATGGTCATCGGAATGGTGGGAGCCGGCAAGAGTTCCCTGCTCTCTGCAATCCTCAAAGAGATCGCACTCACGGAGGGAAGCATCAGAGTCAAGGGAGGCTTGAGTTACGCAGGTCAGGAATCCTGGGTCTTCGGGTCGTCCGTGAGGCAAAATATTCTCTTCGGCCAGCCCTACGACAGACAGCGGTACCAGAGAGTCGTCAAGGCGTGCGCCCTCCTCAGGGACTTCAAGCAGTTTCCCCAAGGGGACCAAACCATCGTCGGAGACAGAGGCAGCTCCCTGTCCGGGGGTCAGAAGGCCAGGATAAATCTGGCGAGGGCCGTCTACAGGCAGGCCGACATCTACCTGTTCGACGATCCTCTCAGCGCGGTACTTGTCATTTTTCAAATTTTCATCCAGTGTCCAATGTCAATTTTTTGCTAAAATCTAAACTTTCGGAACTAGGTGGACGCGCACGTGGGGAAGCACTTGTTCGAAGAGTGCATGAAGCACTATTTGTCCGGAAAGACTCGAATTCTGGCGACTCATCAGCTTCAGTACATCAAAGGAGTCGACGCGATTATTCTTCTCGATCAGGGCAAGATGCAATTCTACAAGAATTATCAGCAGCTCCTCCAAAATCATCCTGAGTACATGCCGCTCATTGCAGCGGAAACTAATCCGGAAAATGCCGATGATTCCTTCATGGAAAGAAGTACGATGCGACGACAGTTTTCTACTTCGAGCAATAGGGTAAGTTTGTTACACTGGCATTTCTATTAATGCCACAATTATGGCTATAGTTGTAAAACATTACTTGCTTTTACAATTTTAACAATTGTATAATTGTTCAATTGCTAGTACAGCATTAAAAATTCTGTTTCTTTAGAGTAAAACACCAGAAGGAGGTGGTGATACAGATATTGAAGAAGATGAAGAAGATGCCGAAAATTTAGACGGATTGGTTGAGGGTACTTCAAGAGGAACTGTAAAGGGTTCAATATTCCTCAACTATTTCAGAGCTGGAGCCAATTTATTTGTTGCCTTTATAGTATTTATTCTATTCGTCCTGACACAATTTGCTGCCAGTTTAAATGACCTCTACGTTCCGTTTCTGTAAGTCCAGAAAATCGAACAATTTTTTTCGTATTTATTGCGAAGCAATGTTTTGATTCGTTATTTGTCTCAATTTAACAAATTTACATTTTCGTATTTATTGCGAAGCAATGTTTTGATTCGTTATTTGTCTCAATTTAACAAATTTACATTTTCAGAGTAACAGCGGAAGAATCGAAATTATACGAAATGGCAAACATAACACGAAATCAAACAGACGAGGGTCTCTTTAAGGTCCAACCATGGTCGCAGGAAGTTTACATTTATGTATATATTGGAATAGTGACATCGATATTTTTGATTGGTATTACGAGATCGTTTGTTTTTTACGCATTATGTATGCGAGCGAGTCAACGATTGCACGATATGGTATTTAGTGCTCTGATTAGAACAGGAATGCGATTTTTTGACACAAACCCTAGCGGTCGGATACTTAATAGATTTTCGAAGGACATGGGAGCGATAGATGAATTACTGCCAAAGGCCCTCTTGGATGCTGGACAAATAATCATGATGATGATGGGAACTCTGGTCGTCACTTGTACCGTTAACTATTACTATATCATTCCAATTGTTCTACTTGGTAGTATATTTTACTGGATTCGAAAAGTCTATCTCAAAACGAGTAAAAATGTTAAAAGACTCGAGGGAATGAGTAAGTAATTTTTTATGCATCTTTCAATCGTAAATTCTGAATTTTTATTATTTCTATAATATTTTAATTATTGAATTAATAAGTCAGGATTAAATTCTTTCTATGTACTGCATTTTAACTGTAAAGAATAATTTTTTTGTTTAGCGCGTTCACCAGTATTTACTCATCTAAACGCAACTCTCAATGGACTGACAACGATTAGAGCTTTAGGAGCTCAAGAAATTCTCAAAAATGAATTCGACAAATTTCAAGATTTACACACCTCATCGTGGTTTATGTTTATTGTGACAAGTTCAGCATTTGGATTCTCATTGGACATTTTTACTTTTATTTTCACGACTCTGGTGACTTTTAGTTTTCTCATTAGCAGTGATCGTAAGTATCAAGACAAAACTTTTGTGACACTGAATTTCAAGTGAATAGAGATGAAAAAAATTAAGATGTTAAAAACAGATTTAACTTTTAGCTTCAGCTGAAAATGGTGGAAAAGTCGGTCTGGCTATAACTCAAGTGATGTCCATGACGGGAATGATTCAATGGGGAATGCGTCAAAGTGCAGAAGTGTCGAATCAGTTAATGTCGGTGGAAAGAGTATTGGAATATGCCGTACTCACTCCAGAACCAAATTTGAGGGATAAAGGCGTAGTGTCCAAGAAGAAACAAAAACAAACTGAGATTGAATCCTTTGTCACGCCGCCGAGAAATTGGCCATCGAAAGGCTATATTAGATTCCGGAATATGTACTTAAAGTATTCGGATTATGATCCTCCTGTTTTGAAGGGCCTCAATCTCGTCATTTACCCTTCTGAAAAGGTTGATTATTAATCTAGTAATTGATTCATCTTAATTATAAACTTCTTTAATCAGTTATTTACAATTTTACAATTTCGGATACAATTTTTACACTATTCCATAGTAAACGTATTTCTAAAACCAAAACTATTCTTCAGGTTGGAATTGTTGGGAGAACCGGCGCTGGAAAATCGTCTCTAATCGCCGCTCTTTTCCGTCTCGCGAAAATCGACGGAGTCATTGAAATCGACAATATAGACACGGGAACCGTTTGTTTGGAAGATCTTCGCCAACAAATTTCCATCATTCCACAAGATCCGGTTCTATTTTCAGGAACTATCAGAAGAAATTTAGATCCCTTTAACGAATTTTCAGATAGTCTCTTGTGGGAAGTTCTCGATGAGGTAATTTACCTAATTTCTTTTCTAACTTTTGGTTTTTTCGGTTTTCGAGAAATTAAGTTTTCAGTTGAATTTTATGCGATTTTTAAAAATGATGAATAGGTGGAACTGAAAGAAGCGATTGCGTCCGTTAACGGATTGGACAGTCGAGTGTCCGACAGAGGAAGCAATTTCAGCGTTGGGCAACGGCAACTGATTTGCCTCGCGAGAGCAATTCTAAGAAACAATCGTATTCTAATGCTGGACGAAGCCACAGCGAACGTGGATCCTCAGACGGATGCTCTGATTCAAAGAACCATAAGGACTAAATTCGCTCCTTGCACTGTACTCACTGTAGCTCATCGATTAAATACTATCATGGACAGTGATAAAGTTTTAGTCATGGACAGAGGACGAATGGCGGTAAGAAAATAAAAATTCTCCATAAAACCTACCAAAAGCCTATTACCAAAAATAATTTACTCAAATATGAATATTTATTTTAGGAATTCGATCATCCGCACATTCTTCTGCAAAACCAATACGGACAATTTACCTCCTTAGTTAGAGAAACTGGACGAGCTATGTTCGATCAATTGTGCAAAGTTGCCGAACGAGCATACTTATCAAAACACGAGGACAATCCATCAGATTCTAATTAATACTGCCGTGCAATATTATTTGACGCTTAAAATATTTAATCTGCAACAATGCGCCTTTGTCGATATCGAAAAAATTATGTTTATTTATTTTTTTTTACCGAGAGTTTACAAAAGTTTCGCGTTTCTCATTGAAATCCACACGTTGAGAAACTGTTTTTAAAAAAGCATGCAAAATTCACCAAAAAAAAATAATTAAGATACTTTTCTAGTAGAAAAATTATCTAATGTCAAAAATAATTTTTTAACAAATGTGATAACCTTCTTCCGTTAAGGTTATGTTATTTTCTTCCGATTCGGAAGTAATTTTATATTTCAAGGATCACACTCTTTAGTTAAATTTTATACATTTTAAGAATTTCTTTCAGCATTGCTGGAGTTTTGAATGAAAATAAAGATACCAATTGTAAATAGATATACTTATAGAACTGTTCAAGACTATTAAAAATTAAGTAAATTTTTTAGATAAGATGAAATTTAATTTAGCCAAGAATTTAAGAACAACGGTTTTGTCAATTGAGACAATTTTTTTACCCAAAGAATCAGTGCTGAAGGTCGCAGTCGTGTGTTCAAACTTGAAACATTTACTATAATTTTAGAACGCACCTGAATCTCATGTTTCCATTTTAAAATTGTAAAAAAATATAACAATCACAATAGAATTACAAAGAACCGTTTTGAAAGCGAGAGTAAGAAGGCTCGTGAAATTTCTACTTCTTGATTCCAAAGTTCTTTGTAGTCTTATTTCTTATTTCGAGACATAAATACTAAGCACAAACATGACTTGCAAAAGTGAGATAACAAAAACAATGGTTTAAAAGTGATTTGCGATACTAAGAGTAGTGTTGATTCTTTCAATCTTTTTATGTTGCTGAATACATGTTGCATTTCATTTTCTTGTACCCAACTCTTTATTATCTTATTTTACTTGCACGGTACTCTCTAAAACTGAATCAGTGAAAATTCACTTATTGAAAGTGAATATTCACTTATTTCAAACGTTATAAGTCGTCCTCTCTGAATTAGTGAATATTCACACATTACATGAGTGAAAAACAGTTCACTTATAAAATAAGTGCAAGATTCACTTTTAAATAAGTGAACTGTTTTATGTAGAAAAATTAGCAATCCTGTAACACAAATAATGACAATATTGTTTCAAAACAATAAACTGTATATCTGTAAACTCTTTATAAATTTTTCAATATAACATATAATATAAAATATGGAAACTGTGGAGCTAACAATGTTACATTTACTAGTCAAAAAGTATAAAATAAAAGTTTTTTTAAAGAAAGCATAAAATATAACCTCAAACTTATAGAGACATGAAAAACTGTGTATACGTAGACATTTACAGATGAAATATCCTTATCATTTAATTAAATTGTAGGTGCAAATAATTTATATTTTTTTAATAGTATACTTATACTAATATAAAAATGTTTATAATTACGTATATTTATTCATTCGAAAACCGGTAAACTTTTCGACGCACAGACGCTCAGAATGACGCAATGTGAAACAATGACGCCAAGTGACACTGACAAACGAATAAGTGAAAAAATCACTTATTTATGAGTGAAAAATCAATTTAACTTATTAAATGTAAAAATTTTACTTATTGATGAGTAACAAATAAATTTAACATATTATATGTGAAAATTTAACTTATTTATAAGTGAGAAATTCGTCCACTTACGAAAAAAGTGAAATTTTCACTGATTCAGTTTTAGAGAGTAAATTGTTAGGTGTTAAAATAACACCAAAATGGATTAAAATAACACTAAATTGGATTATTTTAATCCTTTTTGGTGTTATTTTAATACCTAAGGATTTACCGTGTGCTCGGATGTTTAGAAATTTGTACATAATTATATAAGTATAAACAAATTAATGATTTTTTAATTAATTATGAATTATTGGAGACCAAAAATATACTAAGAGAGATAAATTGTATTTAATAAATTTATTTCGATTAAATATCTATTGTATACTAAATTCATTATATATTTATAATGCGATAATTAAGTGTTAAATTTGAAGAGTATTATTAAGGTGTTATGAATGTTATAAAATTTCTATTTGATGTAAATTTTCGTGAAAATGAACCAAAAAAGTAATGTATGATTATAAAAATAACTCTTTTTATTGAGAGGACTTAGCAAGAAACTGACTTAATGTGCGTGGTTTCAAATTGTATGAAATTATAATAATCTTTCTAATAAAGAAATTAATTAGTTTAAAAACCTTCACTTTTAATTCAAAAAATATACTTTAATTACATTTTTCAATAATGTACTAAATAACATTAATTTTGTTTACTTTCAATTGAACTTATTTCCACTATTTGAAATAATATCTCTCATCATTAAAAGAACTTTTTGTCTTGAAAATTATATTTTTACTAAGTGACTGAAAATAATTACTATAGAGGGGAATAAGTTTGTTTTTATTGCTATACAAAATGTTTTCAGTGTCTCCGTAACTTTTTATCTAATCACTGTAACAAAAATGTAAACTTTAAGCATTGTTAGTTATTTTAAACATTTTTGTACATAATATCTAAATTAAAAATAAAGGAAAAATGACTTTAAAAGCAAAATAAATTGTTTCAAATCTTCAACAAGTTTGAAGTGTATTATCAATGTTTTAGTGCTTTTGTGAGTAAACAAAATTTATAATTATTTGATATACCCAGATCAGTGTCTTATTTTTTATATTATAAAAATTCTAGTTTTTAGTGAACTTTGAAAATACTGGAAATCTTAAACTGCTCTTGATTTACCTTTTTCACCCTATAAAGAACTTTTTAAAAAGCCATGAAAAGTTATAGTTGAAAGTTTTATAAATAATTGAATTATTTGTATTTTAACAAAGTTGACTTTTCGAAAAACATTGTAAAAAGTATTCAAAATGATTGATTTAGAAAAAAATTTTAATTTCAAATTCTGAAAATTGGATTTTAAAATTCAGAAATATAAATTTCTGAAGACTAATAACTAATAATTTAATTACTTTATTAAAGTTCCAGTGCCTTTTGTTAATAAAAGAAGTCGTTATTTGAAACAATCAGGTAATAACAATATTTACTTGCACGCTCTTTTTAGTTAAAAAGTTGTATCTGAAATTTATTGATATTATAATATTTATATTTGGATATTATTTCATTAAATTTATATATCAGTTCATAGTACGTAAAAATTTTGACAGTAATTTATAATTCAGTATTTAATTTATATTCTATAAAAGAATACAATTTCAAAAATAATGTAAAGATTGCGTGAATACTGTCATTATTGTGTAATATTGACCAATTTGAAGTCCACAACGTTAATAACGAAAAAAATTGTTCACTATGTAAGTAAATTAATTAAAGATTACGCAGCAATATTGCCACAAACATATTTAGGGAAAAAAAGATAGATGTTTATGTTTTGATAATAATTATTGTACAATTAAATATTAAATTAAAAACAATACTTAAATGCATTAAATAAATTTTTTTCGTTGATCAACGTTGTGGACGTGTCATTATTATTATTATTAACTATACATTGTTATAAATTATTATATTACTAGATAAAATAAAGCGCGCCTGTGGCTTCTCGTTCTCGTATCAATAGATAATTTCTTAACAAGAATGCCTATTGACAATAAAAACAAGTGCACATGTGTAATTACAAAAAAAATATTTCAAATATTTTAATAAAACAGAAAATTTTGCAAAAATTATGATTATAAAATAATAATAATAATAATGAAACAAAAATATTGAAAAAAACTCTGAAAAAAAATCTTTATTATTAATAAAATCTTTTTAAAATTTCAAGTATCTTTAAAAAATTGCTCGATATTGTTTTCAACTAAATTTTTTCTAAAGACTTTCATTTTTTTTATGCTTCTAAAATTCCGAACAATTTGAAATTTTTTAAATATATGACTTTTATAAAATAATTTGTACAAATTTAATTAATTAAATTAATTAATTTAATTAATTCGTTTTTAAAATAAATAGAAAATTGAAAGATGAGAATAAAGTTAAAAAAATCATTTTAAATCATAGAAAATTGTTAACTATTTAAATTAATAATAAGTTAAGTTTTTTATTTATAAACTTAAATTTAATAATTATTGTAAAAATTCCATCAATCGAAATGGATGGAAGAAAAACGACTACAAATCCAAATCCAAGGGAAGGAGCTTCTTGTATATCAGTGTTATTATGGTGGTGTGTATAAAAGTATTATAACTTATAGAAATAAGTTTTATATATTCACGTTTTATATTAATTTTAATACCGCCAAGTAAGAAATTCATATATTTACACACTAAAAAAAGTCATACTTTCAGCCTATTTTCAAGGCTGAATTTAAGGTGTAAACGGAGTCAGACTTTTTTTCCTCTGTATATTATTAGAAATAAGTTTTTAATGATTTTTTTAACTTTTCATTGCAAAAATAATTAAGACAAGTTTTGAAAATTGTAGCATTAATTGTAAATAATGTTAAGAAGAAAATGTTTTTTGTCTTATCAGGTGGACTGTACGTCTATTCAAAACGGGATATACAAAAGAATTAGGAACAGAAGATTTATTTCATCCATTAAAAGAAGACAAATCATCCTTTCTTGGCGATAGATTAGAAAAGTTTGTATATTTTAACCGAATTACAAAAATTTTGTTTTATTGTTTTAAAGTAAATATTACAATATACATCGTTTTTTTAAGAACTTGGAACAAAGAAGTGAAAATTACAAACAATCGTAAAGAAAAAATAAGTTTATTGAAAGTAATTGGTCGGACTTTCGTATGGGAATATTTTCTCCTTGGTATACTTCAGATATTTAATGAATTAATATTAAGGTCTGTATAAATTTTAAAAACATATTCTGTATTATATAAAATTAAATCAAAAAAATTGGTTATAAGTTAAAATCTATTCCTACACAATATTAATTCATACTTTTACCAATTTATCTACTTTGTAGTATTTTTATATGTGTAGTGAGTGTCGTTTTTATCACGAAAGTATTAAGTCCAATTCCACACAAATTTAACAGCGAATTTATTAAACTCTAAATTTCAGATTGGGAACACCAATACTTTTGAGTGGTTTTCTACAGTATTTTAGACCAAAAACCGAAGTACCTTACCAAACAGCACTTTTGTTTGCTGGAGGAATATGTCTTTTTTCATGTTTAACTGTGATCAGCTTAAATCAATCCATTTATGGATCTTTACACGTGGGAGGCAGAATACGTGTTGCAATATGTTCACTTGTTTACAGAAAGGTAATTAATTAATTATATAATTAATGTCCATAATTAATGTAATTATGGACATCTCGATGAACCAAAATATTGTATAGATTATCAGAGATATTCTCTGAAAGGTTCACTTTTTGATTAGCATGCAAAAGTAACAAAACTAACGTATTTTCATTATACTCTTGTGACTAATTTAAAAACTATATCAATAATAATTAAACACATTCAAATAATTGTTATTTTCTAGGCCTTGAAACTTAGCAAGACTGCCCTAGAAGAAACGGCTCGAGGAAAAATAGTTAATTTAGTCGCAAACGATGTCAACAGATTTGATTTCGTGTCGATTTTTATCCATTATATGTGGTTAGCTCCTCTCTCAGCTTTAATTATCGCATATTTATTATACTCTGAAGCTGGATATGCTGGACTTATTGGAATTGCTGTTGTTTTCGTCGTCGTTCCAATTCAATGTAACTATCACATCATTGCATTAATATTTAATTCTTAGAGTAAAAATGAATTCTTTTTTAAATTTCTTTCAGCGTTCACAGGAAAACTGTCGTCAATTTATAGATCGCAAACTGCAATCAAAACGGACGAGAGAGTGCGACTTATGGACGAAATAATCTCAGGAGTTCAAGTGATAAAAATGTACGCTTGGGAAAAACCGTTTTGCGCTTTGGTGGAAAATGCTCGCAAGCAAGAATTAAAGATAGTCACAAAAACCTCTTACATACGGGGAATTTTTATGACTTTCAATATATTAACATCAAAACTAGCACTATTCGCAACTTTACTGACAATGATGTTGTATAAGGAACCATTAACAGCCGACAGAGTCTTTGTCTTCGCGTCATATTATTCTGTTCTTTCGAACACAATGTCCACTATGTTCGTTCGAGGAATTACGGAAATTGCAGAATGTCTAGTGACTGTTCGAAGATTGCAACATTTCTTATTGTATAAAGAGTATCAAGAAATATATCCTCATTTGCATCGGTCTTGCACTATCAATGGGACAAGTAAAATGAATGACAAGGAAAATTCAACTAAAATAGATATTCCTTTCATTGTAATGGATGATCCGCCAGAGACTTGGGCCATCAAACTAGACAATGTAACAGCAAAATGGGAGCCTGGCCAGTCAGAAAATACCCTGGAGAAGGTTAACCTGGAAATAGAGACCGGAAAACTGTACATGGTCATCGGAATGGTGGGAGCCGGCAAGAGTTCCCTGCTCTCTGCAATCCTCAAAGAGATCGCACTCACGGAGGGAAGCATCAGAGTCAAGGGAGGCTTGAGTTACGCAGGTCAGGAATCCTGGGTCTTCGGGTCGTCCGTGAGGCAAAATATTCTCTTCGGCCAGCCCTACGACAGACAGCGGTACCAGAGAGTCGTCAAGGCGTGCGCCCTCCTCAGGGACTTCAAGCAGTTTCCCCAAGGGGACCAAACCATCGTCGGAGACAGAGGCAGCTCCCTGTCCGGGGGTCAGAAGGCCAGGATAAATCTGGCGAGGGCCGTCTACAGGCAGGCCGACATCTACCTGTTCGACGATCCTCTCAGCGCGGTACTTATCATTTTTCAAATTTTCATCCAGTGTCCAATGTCAATTCACTGCTAAAATCTAAACTTTCGGAACTAGGTGGACGCGCACGTGGGGAAGCACTTGTTCGAAGAGTGCATGAAGCACTATTTGTCCGGAAAGACTCGAATTCTGGCGACTCATCAGCTTCAGTACATCAAAGGAGTCGACGCGATTATTCTTCTCGATCAGGGCAAGATGCAATTCTACAAGAATTATCAGCAGCTCCTCCAAAATCATCCTGAGTACATGCCGCTTATTGCAGCGGAAACTAATCCGGAAAATGCCGATGATTCCTTCATGGAAAGAAGTACGATGCGACGACAGTTTTCTACTTCGAGCAATAGGGTAAGTTTGTTTCCAAAAAGAATCATTTATATAAAGTTAATATTAATTTTTCAAATTATTATTATAATTTAATAATTATAATAATGAAAAATTTGAATCTTTAGAGCAAAGCGGCAGATGGTGGTGATAATACGGATGGTGAAGATGAGGAAGAGCCTACAACTGATGAATTGGTTGATAAATTGGTAGAAAGAACCTCAAGAGGTACTGTCAAGGGTTCACTATTCTTGAATTATTTTAGATCTGGAGCTAATTTATTCTTCGGCTTTCTCGTACTTGTTTTGTTTGTTCTAACACAGTTGGCTGCCAGTTTGGATGACCTTTATATTTCTTTTCTGTAAGTCTAAAAAACACTTCACATATATTTGTAAACAATTCAATTAATATCTAACAACCTAATCTTCATTTTTGATAAATATTACTATAAGCTTAATATAATATTTATATTTCTAGGATAACAGCAGAAGAAGCAAAAGTATACAAAATGGCAAATATAACAATAAATCGGAAAGACGAGGGCCTCTTTAAGGTCCAACCATGGTCGCAGGAAGTTTACATTTATGTATATATTGGAATAGTGACATCGATATTTTTGATTGGTATTACGAGATCGTTTGTTTTTTACGCATTATGTATGCGAGCGAGTCAACGATTGCACGATATGGTATTTAGTGCCCTGATTAGAACAGGAATGCGCTTTTTTGACACAAATCCAAACGGACGAATTCTTAACAGATTTTCAAAGGACTTAGGAGGTATTGACGAATTACTGCCAAAGAGCCTCTTGGACGCAGGGCAAGTAACCATGGTGTTAATGGGAAGTCTGATTGTCACTTGTATCGTCAACTATTACTATATCATTCCAATTATCCTATTTGGTACCATGTTTTATTGGATTCGAAAAGTTTATCTCAAGACAAGTAAAAATATAAAACGACTGGAGGGAATAAGTAAGTTTCTTTACATTAAATATTTAAACTGATTTTTGAGAGAAAGATATTTATTGTTTGTCAAATTAATTTGATCAACCAGCTCGTTCGCCGATTTTCACACATCTCAACACAACTCTGAATGGATTGACAACGATTAGAGCTTTTGGAGTTGAAGAAGTACTCAAACATGAATTTGACAAACTTCAAGATTTCCACACCTCGTCCTGGTTTATGTTTCTTACAACAAGTTCAGCATTTGGATTTTCATTGGACGTTTTTAGTTTTATTTTAACGACTCTGGTGACTTTTAGTTTTCTCATTAGCAGTGATCGTAAGTATCTAGGCAAAATTTTTTAATTTCAATTGGATAGAAATAAAATGTCAAAGACGATGAAAAATTAAAAACTCAGAGATTTAAAAATAAATATAACTTTTAGCGTCATCTGAGAATGGAGGAAAAGTTGGTCTGGCTATAACTCAAGTGATGTCAATGTTGGGATTGATTCAATGGGGAATGCGTCAGAGTGCAGAAGCAGCAAATCAATTGATGTCGGTTGAAAGAGTTTTAGAATATGTTGAACTTCCTCCAGAGCCTAATTTACGAGACAAAGGAGTAATTTCCAAAAAGAAAATGAAACAAACTCTACCTGACTCTTTTGTTACGCCTCCTTCAAATTGGCCAAATATGGGCAACATTGCATTCAAAAATATGTACTTGAGATATTCTGATGATGATCCTCCAGTTTTGAAAGGCGTCAACCTCGTCATTCACCGGTCGGAAAAGGTTAATTACACATTTATTTACTACAAAATTAATTTACAAGTTTCTTGAGTAAATGCCCTTTAATTAAATTTCTAAAAGGAAAAATGTTCTCCAGGTTGGAATTGTTGGTAGAACCGGCGCTGGGAAATCGTCTCTAATCGCCGCTCTTTTTCGTCTCGCGAAAATCGATGGAGTCATTGAAATCGACAATATAGACACGGGAACCGTTTGTTTGGAAGATCTTCGCCAACAAATTTCTATTATTCCACAAGATCCGGTTCTATTTTCAGGAACTATCAAAAGAAATTTAGATCCCTTTAACGAATTTTCAGATAGTCTCCTGTGGGAAGCTCTCGATGAGGTAATTTACAAATTTCTTTTCTAACTTTTGGTCAAAACAACTAAAATAGATTAGATACTAAAATTTTAGAGAAATTAAGTTTTGAGTTGAATTTTATGCAAGTTTTAAAAATTTATGAACAGGTGGAACTGAAAGAAGCGATTGCGGCCGTTAACGGATTGGACAGTCGAGTGTCCGACAGAGGAGGCAATTTCAGCGTTGGACAACAGCAACTGATTTGCCTCGCGAGAGCAATTCTAAGAAACAATCGTATTCTAATGCTGGACGAAGCCACAGCGAACGTGGATCCTCAGACAGATGCTCTGATTCAAAGAACCATAAGGACTAAATTCGCTTCTTGCACTGTACTCACAGTTGCTCATCGATTAAATACGATCATGGATAGTGATAAAGTTTTAGTCATGGACAGAGGACGAATGGCGGTAAGAAAATAAAAATTCTCCATAAAACCTATCATAAGCCTATTAATATTATTAATTAACAAAAATAATTTAATTAAAATTGAATATTTATTTTAGGAATTCGATCATCCGCACATTCTTCTGCAAAACCAATACGGACAATTTACCTCCTTAGTTAGAGAAACTGGACGAGCTATGTTCGATCAATTGTGCAAAGTTGCCGAACGAGCATACTTATCAAAACACGAGGACAATCCATCAGATTATAATTAGTATTGCCGTGAAATATTATTTACCATTTAACCAGTGTCTTATTTTATTTTTTAAAATGACTAGTTTTTAATGAAGTTTGAAAATATCGGAAATCTTAAACAGCTCTTTGAAGACCATTAAATTTTAATACTCTGAACAATAATTCAATTTTTCAAAATTTAAATTTTTTTCCAAAATTACAGTAGAATCTTTCAATAGTGCAGTCATTAGTGAATTGAGTAGACAAGGGGTTTCAGGAGGCAAAGGGAAAGGGAATCTGTGACGTCAAATACAGTGCCGTCGCTCATTTGATTATTTAGTATTATTTAGTGGTGCCCGGTATTTAGTAGTGGGCGACCCTTAATTTTCTGGACACAGACCTGAATGTTTTAATTTTTGCTTGCTTCGAACAGTGCACAATATTTTCGACGACTGCACTATTGAAAGATCCTACTGTAGTTGAATTTTCAAATATCTAAATAAATGTAAACCAATTGAAAAATTTGTAAATAAAAAAAAATTTATTTAGAAAAGAATAATTACAGTTATTAAGATTCTAGAAATTAAAATTTAAAATTGGAAGTAGTGTTGTACCTAGTTAAAATGTTATAATGAATAATTAAATTTGTAAAGGTTTCAAATTGAAATTTAGAAAAAATTTTAATTAAAATTTTTTGAAGATAATTAAATTCTCTAAAGTAATTAATTAAAAAATTATCAAAACAATTGTAAATTTTGTAAAATTTTATCGAAACAAATTTTATATTTTTCAAAATTTTATCATAATTTTATGAAAAAAGTTTTTAATAATCATATTTTTGAAGAAAAATGTGGAAAAATTTGAAAGAAATATTTTTTATAAGTTCACTTGAATTTATTTTCACCGTTTGAATTTGCCACTCTTTATGAATAGTAACTTTCTGTCGATAAGAGTAGGATAAATTTCTGAACTGAAATTAACTAGATTGCCCAACCGCTTTCATGAGAATTGAGAAATAAAAACAAGTGAAATCATTGTCATTTTAATCAGTGCCTTAGTAACTTTAGACGTAATCTCTTTAGTTGTAGCATTAGTCGTTATTTTAAATATTTATTTGAAAATCCTAAATTAAAAATAGAAGGCAAATAGTTTTAAAATTATAGAAAAAAATAATAGAATCTTTTATAAATAATAACTAATAATTTAAGTAAATTATCAAATTTCCGGTGATTTCTGTGAATAAAAGAAGTCGTTATTTGAAACAAACAGGTAAAAACAATATTTACTTGCACGCTTTTTCAGTTAAAAATTTGTATTTGATATTTATTGATATTATGATATTTATATTTGGATATTATTTCATTTAATTTATATATCAGTTCATAGTAATTAATATTTTTGACAGTAATTTTTAATTTAGTGTTTAATTTATTTTCTATCAAAAAGAACACTTATATACAATTGCTACATTTAATGTAAACATTGCGTGAATCTTGCTATTGTTGTGCAATTTTGTTACAATATATAATATTAAGGTGCCCCGGGTGAATAAGCTTTGCTTTATTATTACTATAATTATTGTTATAAATTATTATATTATTACTTAATATTAAGACAATTTTTCCATCATTTATTTATTATTCTTTATAATTTCTCAATAATTTCCTGACTCATTTTTTTAAAACGAAAGTATTGAAAAGAAACACTAAAAAAAATTTTGTAAAATTTAACTATATTATTTACTATAATTATTAAATTTTTTATTTTTATTATAAATAAAAATTATTTGAAAATTCGATATTTTTATATCTCTAATAATATTTTTTATCAAATTTAATTATTTTCACCAAATTTCAATTAATTTGATAATTTTTTAAGAAAGTTTTTTTTAAAAATTCAAGTATCTTTAAAAAATTACTCGGTAATGTTAATTTTTCAAAAATAATTAATGCGTGTATAATTTTAACTCCTTTACCCAGAGAAAAATTTTATTTAAACCAAATAAAATTTATTTAAAACAAATAAAATATAAATATAATTATAAATATAAATTATATACGCGTAACATTTTTAATAAAAAAATATATACAAATTTAAGAAGAACATTTTTTTTCCTGATCATGTTGTGAACTTTATTAACGTTAACAATAACTGTAATAAATATGATTTGAAACGAATATGATGATTTATTTCAATTTAATCTGATAAGAGTAATGCTGAATCATTTCGTCACTTGAGAAATTATTACATCTTAAGACGTAATTAAACAAAAGGCTGCTACACTTTAAGTAACTTTGCTGCACTATTGTCAGAAATTGATATCGTTTCCAATTTTGAATTTAAGTGCAAATAAAATACGTATTCATCAATATTTCAGAAAAAATCTCTTTATAAAAGATTAATTCGAATACAAATTTTGTTAATTCCTTTTTAAAATAAAAATAGAAAATTGAAAGATGAGAAAGTTCAAAAAAGTCGTTTTTAATGATAGAAAATTATTAATTATTTTCAATCTTTAATTAAAATATTAATAATAATAATAAATTATTAATTTTTTTAAGCTAAAATTTGTTTATAAAAAAGTAACTAATTTGAAATAAAATATGTAATTCATAGCACACGCATAATTAAAACAAGAGTGTCATCAGAATGTTGTGTTATGCCATCATTCTGTTTTCAATTTGGGCTTTATTCGTTTGTTCTTCTATTTAAAAAGAATACTAAAACTGAAGATTTTATTTAACAATTTAACTTATGAAATTTTTAATGTCTATTACTAATATTTTTATTTCTATTTCAGGTGTTCGAAAAATCTAGTCTCATATAAATCTATATTCTCATTAAAATTTAAGTTTTTTATTTATAAATTTAAATTTAACAATTATTGTAAAAAGTCCATCAATCGAGATGGATGGAAGAAAAACGACCACAAATCCAAATCCAAGAGAAAAAGCTTCTTGTATATCAGTTTTATTATGGTGGTGTGTATAAAAAATAATATAATTTATAGAAATATGTTTGACGTTTTATATTAATTAATAATTATAAATAAGTTATTAATGATTTTTTAATTTTCCCTTGCAAACATTTAATTCAAACAAGTTTTGAAAATTGTATTAATTTTATTTAATTTAATTGTAAATATTAATATTAAAAAGAAAATGTTTTTTGTCTTATCAGGTGGACTGTACGTCTATTCAAAACGGGATATACAAAAATATTAGGAACAGAAGATTTATTTGATCCATTGAAAGAAGACAAATCATCTTTTCTTGGCGATAGATTAGAAAAGTTTGTATTTTTAATATTTTAACCGAATTATAAAAATTGTATTGTATTGTTTTAAAGTAAATATTAAATATTGTTCTAATTAAATATCGTTGTTTTTCAGATCTTGGAACAAAGAAGTGAAAATTACAAACAATCGTAAAGAAAAAATAAGTTTACTAAAAGTAATTTCTCGGACTTTCGTGTGGGAATATTTTCTCCTTGGAATACTTCAGATATTTAATGAATTAATATTAAGGTCTGTTTAAATTTTAAAAACATATTCTGTATTATAAACCAAAAGAATTAACCTAAAATTTATTACACAATATTCATTCAAAATTTTACACATTACCATTGTGCAAAAGTGCAAAAAGAAAAACTAATATTTTTCGACGAGTTCAAAAATTGATTGTGATCGAATTTCAACTGCTTTAGAAATTCTACACTTGTACGATTTAAACATGAAACTATTTGTTGTGCAGCAAATAACTGTTTGAAAAATTTGAGGATTTGTCCTATTGTAAAAACATTATTTAAATTACCTTTGCTGCCCTTGTTTTGGAATATTTTGAGGTTATGTGGTCCAATTGTAGAATTATTCTGCATGCGCGTCTCCCTTCATATGGCACTCACTTTTATTCACTCAATTCACTTCATTAACTGATTATAATTAATTAGATAATAGGATCAGAGACTAACACTTGATTTTAAAGTAATGTGACACACGACACGAGAAAAGGTATGTATCTGTTGCCGCAAAGTGCAAAAGAAAATTTTGAGCGACTAGAGCGACGCCATGAACAAAAAACACCAGGAATTATCTTTTGGGATTTATATTACTAAAACGATTTCAATTTTTAACGTACCTCTTCTCATTTCGCGTCACATATTTAATTAAAACACAATTAATTGGCAGAATTGATCAGAATTCATCTTAATGTCAAGTCTGAATGCGAAAACCGCGCGAAAACTTTTATCAAATTCATCAAAAAGCAAGGTCACAAAACTTTGATAAAATCCCGCTAGATGGAGCTCCTTTGCCCTTTCCTGCACTGAATGGAAGAAAGTACCATTTTTAATGTATGAGTTGAGTGTATAAAAGCAAGCGCTCATTGTTCATTGATGTGTAATAAAGTATTCACAGTATATAGTGTAAAGAAATCAGAAATTATCTACTTTGCAGTATTTTTATATGTAGAGAGTGTCAGCCAATTTATTAAATTCTAAATTTCAGATTGGGAACACCTATACTTTTGAGTGGTTTTTTGCAGTATTTTAGACCAAAAACCGAAGTACCTTACCAAACAGCACTTTTGTTTGCTGGAGGAATATGTCTTTTTTCATGTTTAACTGTGATCAGCTTAAATCAATCCATTTATGGATCTTTTCACGTGGGAGGCAGAATACGTGTTGCAGTATGTTCACTTGTTTACAGAAAGGTAATTAATTAATTATCAACTTACACCTCGATGTCACAAGATAATAACAAGATTTTGTAGTTTTGCTACTTTTGTTACTTAACCACAAGAGTTGGATTTTACTTTTAAGATTAAATAAAATCTTACTGTACGATGGAATAAAATATCGTAAAGTCTTGAATTGAGGGATAAAAAACTTGTGAATAAATTGAAATAAAAGGACAGATCCAATCTTTTGGTTATAGTTTTGTAAAAGTAATAAAACTAGCGTATTTTCATTATAATTATACTCTTGTGACTAATTTAAAAATATTTCATTCATTAATTTAGATGATAAAGAAAAAATATCTATTCAATCGCTAAAAAACTATATCAATAATAATCAAACACATTCAATTAATTGTTATTTTCCAGGCCTTGAAACTTAGTAAGACTGCCCTGGGAGAAACGGCTCCAGGAAAAATAGTTAATTTAGTGGCAAACGATGTCAACAGGTTTGATCTCGTGTCAGTACTTATCCATTATATGTGGTCAGCTCCTCTTTCAGCTTTAATTATCGCATATTTATTATACTCTGAAGCTGGATATGCTGGACTTATTGGAATTGCTGTTGTTTTCGTCGTCGTTCCAATTCAATGTAACTATCACATCATTGCATTAATATTTAATTCTTAGAGTAAAAATGAATTCTTTTTTAAATTTCTTTCAGCGTTCACAGGAAAACTGTCGTCGATTTATAGATCGCAAACTGCAATCAAAACAGACGAGAGAGTGCGACTTATGGACGAAATAATCTCAGGAGTTCAAGTGATAAAAATGTACGCTTGGGAAAAACCGTTTTGCGCTTTAGTGGCAAATGCTCGCAAGCAGGAATTGAAGATAGTCACAAAAAGCTCTTACATACGGGGAATTTATATGACTTTCAATATATTAACATCAAAACTGGCACTATTCGCAACTTTACTGACAATGATGTTGTATAAGGAACCATTAACAGCCGACAGAGTCTTTGTCTTCGCGTCATATTATTCTGTTCTTTCGAACACAATGTCCAGTATGTTCGTTCGAGGCATTGCGGAAATTGCTGAATGTCTAGTGGCTGTTCGAAGATTGCAATATTTTTTATTGTATGAAGAGTATCAAGAAGTAAATCCTCATTTGCATCGGTCTTGCAATGTCAAAGGGACAAGTAAAATGAATAACAAGGAAAATTTTATTAAAATAGATATTCCTTTCATTGATGAGGATCTTTCTGAGGACTTGAAAAATAAGAAAAATGGATTCGTAGGGCGAGCTAGTGATTTTTTGAAAAACACGAACATTGAAGGTAAAATTTATTTATAAAATTGACTAATGTTAGTTTTAATTTAATTTAAATTAATTATATTAAGTTATTAAGTTAATTTAAATCATTTTTTAAGTAATTATTTGTTTTAAAAAAAAATAGATGTAATGGATGAACCGTCAGAGACTTGGGCCGTCAAACTGGACAACGTAACAGCAAAATGGGAGCCTGGACAATCAGAAAATACCCTGGAGAAGGTTAACCTGGAAATAGAGACCGGAAAACTGTACATGGTCATCGGAATGGTGGGAGCCGGCAAGAGTTCCCTGCTCTCTGCAATTCTCAAAGAAATCGCACTCACGGAGGGAAGCATCAGAGTCAAGGGAGGCTTGAGTTACGCAGGTCAGGAATCCTGGGTCTTCGGGTCGTCCGTGAGGCAAAATATTCTCTTCGGCCAGCCCTACGACAGACAGCGGTACCAGAGAGTCGTCAAGGCGTGCGCCCTCCTCAGGGACTTCAAGCAGTTTCCCCAAGGGGACCAAACCATCGTCGGAGACAGAGGCAGCTCCCTGTCCGGGGGTCAGAAGGCCAGGATAAATCTGGCGAGGGCCGTCTACAGGCAGGCCGACATCTACCTGTTCGACGATCCTCTCAGCGCGGTACTTGTCATTTTTCAAATTTCCATCCAGTGTCCAATGTCAATTCACTGCTAAAATCTAAACTTTCGGAACTAGGTGGACGCGCACGTGGGGAAGCACTTGTTCGAAGAGTGCATGAAGCACTATTTGTCCGGAAAGACTCGAATTCTGGCGACTCATCAGCTTCAGTACATCAAAGGAGTCGACGCGATTATTCTTCTCGATCAGGGCAAGATGCAATTCTACAAGAATTATCAGCAGCTCCTCCAAAGTCATCCTGAGTACATGCCGCTCATTGCTGCGGAAACCAATCCTGAAAATCTCGAAGATTCATTCACGGAAAGAAATATCTTGCGAAGACAATTTTCTACTTCGAGCTGTAGAGTAAGTTTGTTTCCAAAAAGAATCATTTATTTAAAGTGAATATTATTTTTTCAAATTATTATATATATAATTTAATAATTATAATAATAAAAAATTTGAATCTTTAGAGCAAATCAGCAGATGGTGGTGGCGATACGGATGCTGAAGATGAGGATGAACCCAAAACTGTAGATGAATTAGTTGAGGGAACTTCAAAAGGAACTGTCAAGGGTTCACTATTCTTGAACTACTTTAGATCTGGAGCTAATTTATTCTTTGCTTTTCTCGTACTTCTTTTGTTTATCCTAACTCAGTTGGCTGCCAGTTTGAATGACCTTTATATTCCTGTTCTGTAAGTCTGAGAAACACTCCACATATACTTGTAAATTATTTATATAATTAATATCTAACGTCCTGGTCTTCGTCTTTGAAGATTTTAAATTCTAACCATCAATATATTTACATAAGATCATATACTTATATAAATATTACCATAAGCTTAATATAATATTTAAATTTCTAGGATAACAGCAGAAGAAGCAAAAGTATACAAAATGTCAAATATAACAATAAATCGGAAGGACGACGGAATCTTTAAAGCTCAACCATGGTCGCAAAAAGTTTACATTTACGTGTACATTGGAATAGTGTCATCGATATTTGTCATTGGTTTCACAAGATCATATGCTTTTTATAGATTGTGTATGAGAGCAAGTCAACGATTACACGACATGGTATTTAGTGCTCTGATTAGAACAGGAATGCGATTTTTTGACACAAATCCAAGCGGACGAATTCTTAACAGATTTTCAAAGGACTTAGGAGGTATTGACGAATTACTGCCAAAGAGCCTCTTGGACGCTGGACAAGTAACCATGTTGGTCATGGGAAGTCTGATTGTCACTTGTATCGTCAACTATTACTATATCATTCCAATTATCCTATTTGGTACCATGTTTTATTGGATTCGAAAAGTTTATCTCAAGACAAGTAAAAATATAAAACGACTGGAGGGAATAAGTAAGTTTCTTTACATTAAATATTTAAACTGATTTTTGAGAGAAAGATATTTATTGTTTGTCAAATTAATTTGATCAACCAGCTCGTTCGCCGATTTTCACACATCTCAACACAACTCTTAACAACAAATTAAAATTTTTGCAAGTGAAAATATTTTAATGATTCCGAATTATAAAATTGGAAAGTAATTATGATCATAAAAACGCCGTCTATCGGCGACCACGATACTGACTAATTGACTGAACTAAAATTAAAAAATCAAAACGCATTTTAATCTGTGAGGATGTAGCTATAGCCGGAACCAGAATTATTTAAAATTATTAAAAATTGAATTTTTTACGCGACTTTGAAATTTTTTTTTTCAAAAAAACGTAATTTTTTGGAATTATTTGAACCCATCACACGGGGTGACCCCCTTAAATTACAATATAAAAATGAAGAATAGAAAATAATAATTAATTTGATTAACCAGCTCGTTCGCCGATTTTCACTCATCTCAACACAACTCTGAATGGATTGACAACGATTAGAGCTTTTGGTGCTGAAGAAGTACTAAAAGATGAATTTGACAAATTTCAAGATTTCCACACCTCGTCCTGGTTTATATTTATTACAACAAGTTCAGCATTTGGATTTTCATTGGACGTTTTTAGTTTTATTTTCACGACTCTGGTGACTTTTAGTTTTCTCATTAGCAGTGATCGTAAGTATCTAGGCAAAACATTTGAATTTCAATTGTATAAAAATAAAATGTCAAAGACGATGAAAAATTAAAAACTCAGAGATTTAAAAATAAATTTAAATTTCAGCGTCTTCTGAGAATGGAGGAAAAGTTGGTCTGGCTATAACTCAAGTGATGTCAATGTTGGGATTGATTCAATGGGGAATGCGTCAGAGTGCAGAAGTAGCGAATCAATTGATGTCGGTTGAAAGAGTTTTAGAATATGTTGAACTTCCTCCAGAGCCTAATTTACGAGACAAAGGAGTAATTTCCAAAAAGAAAATGAAACAAACTCCACCTGACTCTTTTGTTACGCCTCCTTCAAATTGGCCAAATATGGGCAACATTGCATTCAAAAATATGTACTTGAGATATTCTGATGATGATCCTCCAGTTTTGAAAGGCCTCAATCTCGTCATTCATCCTTCTGAAAAGGTTAATTATTAATCTAGTAATTGATTCATCTTAATTATAAACTTCTTTAATCAGTTATTTACAATTTTACAATTTCGGATACAATTTTTACACTATTCCATAGTAAACGAATTTCTAAAAGCAAAACTATTCTTCAGGTTGGAATAGTTGGCAGAACTGGCGCTGGGAAATCGTCTCTCATAGCCGCTCTTTTCCGTCTCGCGAAAATCGACGGAGTCATTGAAATCGACAATATAGACACGGGAACCGTTTGTTTGGAAGATCTTCGCCAACAAATTTCCATCATTCCACAAGATCCGGTTCTATTTTCAGGAACTATCAGGAGAAATCTAGATCCTTTCGAGGAATTTTCTGATATTGTATTGTGGGACGTTCTGGGAGAGGTAATTTCTCTATTTCCTTTCTAACCTTTTGTCGAAACAACAAAATTAAATTAGAAAAATTAAAATTACATTTAAGTTTTGAAGTGAATTTTATGCGATTTTTAAAAATGATGAACAGGTGGAACTGAAAGAAGCGATCGCGGCCGTTAACGGATTGGACAGTCGAGTGTCCGACAGAGGAAGCAATTTCAGCGTTGGACAACGTCAACTGATTTGCCTCGCGAGAGCAATTCTAAGGAACAATCGTATTCTAATGCTGGACGAAGCCACAGCGAACGTGGATCCTCAGACGGATGCTCTGATTCAAAGAACCATAAGGACTAAATTCGCTTCTTGCACTGTACTCACAGTTGCTCATCGATTAAATACGATCATGGACAGTGATAAAGTTTTAGTCATGGACTTAGGGCAGATGGCGGTAAGAATATTCTTCAAAACTCAAAAAATATTTATACAAAGAAATATTTATGTAAAAAAAAACAATTTTATTCTAATATAAAATTGTTGCCTTCTATGAATTATTTTTTGTCAGTGTTTATTCAAACAAAAAATATCGTTTCAGGAATTCGATCATCCGCATATTCTTCTGCAAAACCAATTTGGACAATTTACCTCATTAGTTAAAGAAACAGGTCGAGCTATGTTCGATCAGCTATCTCAAGTTGCAGAAAAAGCATACTTGGAAAAACACAAGCAACCAGGAAATTCTTTTTAGTACTGCCTTGCTAAAATTTTTTTTATTAATAGTCACAGAGAGTATTATTATATATAATTTTTTCTGTTTTAAAAAAACTTCGTATTTAAAAGAAATCTCTTATTTCAACGTTTATTAAATATTCTATTCGCAAATTTCGTATGCAATCATTTTTTAACACGGCCGGATCGTGAATGAAAATACTGAAATGAATTGTAAATATTTATACTTAAGAAAGTGCTTACGGACCATTAAAACTTAAGTAGGTTATTTCTAAAGTGAGAATAATTTTTCAGCCAAAGAAAATTCAAGACTAAAAGTTTTTTACTATTTTAACAATTACCCGATTTTCATCTATTTATTAATTTGTAAAAATATAACAAATAGAAACTTTTTTTACTAGCTAAGTATTGTAAATCTGTATATATATATATATATATAGATTTGGATAAATTTATTTTTTATAGGTAAATTTTGAAAAATGTAGGACAGCCAAAGTATTTTGCAATAATACAAATTGTTCTCTTCAGTAAATTTGTTTTTGTCAAATCAAAGTATTATTCTGATGTATTATAAATTTATACTGTACTTTTAACTCAGGGATTATTTCTAAAAACTGTCCTAAAAACTGCATTTATCTCAAGTGAATCGATATTTTTAATAAAGAATTGAAATATTTTAAAAACACGTATTTATTTATTTTAAAAAAATGTAGTTGTTATTCCTTGAAAAAGTGCCAAAAATAAAAAAATGTAATGAAAGTAAAACTAACGTTTGATTTATGAATAATTCCAGTTGTAGATTAAAACAAAAATAGAAAGATTGAAAAGTCGTAGATTGATTTTTACAATAAGTATATTTGACTTTAATTACAGGTAATAATAATATGATTAAAAAAACCAGACTTGCGTTCCGAACTAGTGTCTAGCATACAATGCGATATACTAATAAAAATTATTTAATGTGAATGCTCGCTTCCATTAATAACTTGGTCACAATTCATGAAGAGTATTTTTGTTTTTTTCTCTCGAAATCTTAGGGACGACCAACCTCAAATTTAATAATATAAATTATCTCACTTCATTTACATAATATATTATGTATTAAGAGAAATTTTTGTAAAATTTAATGCTAATTTACAATCACTCGTTATTACAAAAAATTCATCAGATTACAACGATTAAAAACTAAGTTTCGATGGGAATGCAAAAAGATTTAAAAAATTTCATTACGTTAAATAGAATTGAAAAAAAATTTTCTTAAAAACAAGAAAATTAAATTTTTTTTACGAGTCAACCCGTTTTGTATTGAAATACAAAAGAAAATATTGTAATTCTGCGAGAGACTCAATCGTCAACTACTACGCGCTTTATTATTTTTGCGTCGTATAATTTTATAACTACTAGTATATTGTACCAACAAAGGTATATATTCTAGTAATTTGTTTTTTTTTCTTTTGGTGTAAATATAGGTTCATTGTCTATTCTTACACTAATTGAAACGTGTCCACTCTTCGTTCGCTACAGTGACCGAACAAAGTGAACTTTCAAACGATAAAACATGATCGTTTTTGATAAAAAAAAATTGTTCAACCGCATATATGATTGAAGACAATTATTGAGTAATTTTACTCTAGTTTCTTTGCGTACATTCCTCTATGTAATCACCTGGTTCGCTTTGTTCTGTCCTTAACGAAACAAGATGGAGAAATTTGTTGATGTAAGTCTCTTATCTAAACTGATTACATGACATTGACCTTGAAAAATAGTTTTCGATAAAAGATGCAAGATGAGTCAAGAAGACTAAATAGGTCCTTCTATTAGACTGATTTTCATGGTACAATAATAAAGACTTCGGCCCAAGAAGAGAAGAGCCAATAGAAATGCACCTGAGAAATAAAAAAAAATTTCAATTTGAAATACATTTCAAATTTTAATAAAAATAAACAAAAAAAAAAGATTGAAATAAAATTTGTCAACAAGAATTGTACTCACCAACATAAGCAACATATATTCCACCGTTTTCTCTCACCAACCTATACGTAGAAACCTGAAAAAAAGATAATTATGTAGAAAGAAGCATCAAACGATTACAGTCGTAAATTATTAATTAAAATATTAAAGAGTTCGAATAATCGTCGATAATAACACGAAAATTAATTTTTTGATAATGAGATTTTTTTCATTGAGAATTTTTCAAGTAGATTAAGAATTCTTGCATAATTGGGATTAATATTTATACGGATACAACAATTAATTACGTTTATATTAAAAATTAAGAAATTAATCTCAAATTAACTTCCTCTAATTTGTAATACTTAATGTCTGATTTTTCATTTCTGATAATTATACCGAAATAGAGCATTTACGTTCGTATCTCAAAGGAAATACAAATTGCGTCTAACGCATTCTTTTCGGTTTATAATAAACGTAGTTTTCTTATCCAATTCTTGTTAATTTTGATAATCGAATAATTATACTAAATACTATGCAAATCTCTTTCTAATTTTCTTTCATGTTCAAAGAGAGATATATTTTCTCTAATTTCTACAAATTGATAGCACTATGCAATAAGTAAAATACGAATTTTAAATAATATGAAACAAATCAGATTTTATAATAGTTGATTAAAAATTATTAATTAAATTAATTAATTAAAAATTTAAGCAAATTATATTTCATTAAAAAAATTATTTCATTTTAGTGATAGATTCTTCTCTTTATCTATGTAGCAATTTTTGGGAACAAGATATTTTTTCAAATTTAAAAACAAGAAGCTGTCTTATTATATTAACAAAATATTTTTTTAATTGTGCAAAATGAATTGTTTTTTAAAATAAAAAAGTCCTTTATTTTATTCACTGTTGTAACAAAAAATTCTTTTTTAATTTTCTGATTTCTAAATTCAATTATTCAAAACTTGAACAATTTTGTCTAATAAATATTTAAATAGGTACTTGTTATGTATTTTTTCACAAGAATTAAAATTTTAATTTCAAATCTTTTGAAATTATATCTCAAAAGATTCAAATGTTCAAATGAACAACGATTTCTTTTATATTTCGTTCAAATCTGAATTTTGAAATAATTACATTCTCATTTTTTTGTTAATTTAGCAAAAACTTTCCATAAATGTTTTAATTTTTTATTTAATTCTAATAATTTTTGAAAATATTTAAATAGAAAAAAAGTATTCATTCATTTTAACGTTCAGAATTTTAAGAAAATATGAAATTTAATTATTTTAAAAAATTACAATTGTAACCCTACTAAAACTTAATTATTTTCATGAATTTTTAACTAAACTTTTTTCTTTATGAATTATCTATATTAATTTTTAATCATTTTCTTAAAGTTCTTTGACAATTGAATTATTTAAATTCAAAAATTCAATTCATTATATAATAATTATAACTGTAATAGCTGTTCATCGGTTTTTTGTGAGTTATTAACATAAATTATTGAAAATATGTAACCGAAAATATTGAAAATAATAATTGATTTTTGAAAAATTATAATAAAAAAATTTCTTAAAATTAGATTTCCAAAAATATTTTTGAATAAGTTATTGAAGAGAATAGATTTTTCAATTTATATAATTAGAAAATTTCTAAATAATTGAAATGCAGTAAAACTTTCTGAAAATAAATCAATTTTTTAAAAGAATTTTTCGAAAATATTTCAAAATAATCAAGTTTTTGAAGAATTTTAATAATAAAATATATAAACATACGTGATCTTCCGAAACTTTAATAAATAAGTCTAATAAATTTGATTTTTTAAAAATTTTAACTTACTTTTCTTTAAAATAATTAAATTTTGATGATAAAAATAATTTTAAAGACTTAGTTTTTTTTAAAGCAGCTATTCTAATTTTAATAATTCTTAAAATTTTTTGAAAAATCAAATTTATACATTTTATACAAATAATAATTTGTAGCTATTTAAATTTTCGGAAATATGCAATTGTTATTATTAAAAAGGATTGAATTTTTTTTCATTATAATTAAAAAATCATTGTTGAAAAAATCGAAAGAAAAATACTTTTTTTAAAAATATTTCAATAACAATTTTTTAAAGCTAATTTTCATTAATTTTCATTTGAAGAATTTTCTTTAAAATTTTTTGAGAATTCAATTATTTTCATAATTTGCAAATTAAAACTCTTCAAAATTTAAATTTCAAAAATTTTAATGAAATAATTTTAAGAAATCAATTATTTAAATCAAAGTTTACAAAATTTTAAGTATTTTAATTTTAAGTATAATTTTAAAATCTGTTTAATTTTATAAAACAAAAATTATTATATAGGAAAAAAGGTCATTCTTTTCGAGTCACATAAAATTATTATAGTTTAATTACTTCAAAAACTTAAATATCTTAAAAAAATATTCCTAAATAATTTTTGAAAGATTAGATTATAAAAATCGAAATAATTTGCATTTTATACCAAAAAAGTGGTATTTTGTTACAATATTTCGAAGACAAGTCGAAAAAGTCGAATTTTTTGAAAATAAGTCGAAAAAATCGTCTTCTTTGAAAATAGTAGGAAAAAGTCCTGCAATCCAAGGTCTGTAATATTATTAGGTACAATATTATTCGATAATATTCCAAATTACATTTAAACTGTTTATAAACAAATGAAATGAAACAATTCGTTAAAAAGAGAAAAATAACGCGCATTTTTTTCGCCAGCATATAATAAACAAAAATAAAAAAGTTTAGATAAAAGAATGTTTAAAATAAAGAAAAAAACATTATCATTTAGGGGAATTAATTATTTGATATGTTGCTGTCAAATAAAAGTATAAAAAAGTAATGCATCCGGACTTGAAGTCACTGACATTAAATTAGCAGAATAAGCAATATTAGAAAAGAAGTTTCCTAATCTATTCTTAGTTTTGGATTATACAATGCAGGAAATTTATCGCAATTCATTATATACTTTGATAAGCAACTTAAATACATTTTTAAAGTCTTCAAAAGACTCTGTTTGTATATATATATATATATACAAAACATCAACGTAAGTGAAAAAGATTGATCTCATAATAAAGTAGTGGTATGCCTTTGTGCAATGAAGAGTATAGTATGATTCATGAGAGTAATTTATATTCCGCTGGCACACATTTAGTTATCACTGACATATTCTGTAATAGGAATATAATGACAACGAGATTGAAACTTTGAAAACTGTCAAAAAATATGGACCATTTAGATTTACAATAAAAAAATATTCAGTGATTTTGGATTTTAAACTACAATCAATTTTTTTCCCCCGTAAATTCTAATTTAAAGAATTTACTTTCTAAGTAGTTTTGAAGTACGATTGTAAATGCAAAAATTTTCGCTGCACTTTTCTTTAGTTACGAAATTGCTGAGAATTGCTAAGGTTACAAAAAGGAGGATGAAAAGTTAGGAAGATAAAACTCAAACGCAATAGAATCTAATAGGCAATTTTTACTATGATAAGTTTCATTAATCATGAATTTACTAATGATTCCTCATGTTGGCTCTACTTGTTTCATCATTTTGTTTATAACAAAAATAAATATCTAAATAACCGATTTAGATAAGTTATTTTTCCAAATATTCTCCAAGAATAAGAATTTAAAATTTAAATTTTAGAAACTTTTGAAAATAAATGCTCTTTTTTTTTAAATTAAAAAAGTAATGATAAGGATCTGAAATATCTTACCGTGACAACAACGCCGATTGTTAAACAAACAATTCCAAGGATAATGAACAAAATCCCACGACCTCGAGCAAAATCTGGACCAACTGATGATACTTTTCGGCAATGTGGACATCGAGCCAGAGCATTGTTTAGTGTATTAAACTGTAGAAAAAAAATAATATATTAAACATTAAATAATTAGAATTCAGAATTTATTTATTTTGTCACTAAAGAAATTAAATTTTTCTTACCAAAAAAGTATCATGACAATGAGCACAACAAACTCTGCACATTCCTGGCATCGACAGAACAGGAGGTGTAACAGGGCTTGGTGCGAGATTAATTATACGTTTGCAATTTGGCCTTGGACATGCAATTCGCTGTGAAGAGCTTTTGCATATTAGGAGACAATTGCATGGACAACGTACGTATTTTTTTCCTGGAGGTGCGTTTCTTATTGGCTATCAGAAAAAAACAATTTATTAAAAGAAAGAGAAAGGGAAACAATAATAAGAAAAAAAAGCTATTTAAATTAGACCTCCCTTTAAATTATTTATTTTAATCGGAATTTAATTTTTCTCGTATATCGAAATTTCGATCACAATCTAATTACAAAAAACAAAAATATCTTTGCTGTCATAGCTATACGTCGAGAACAAAGAAAATCTAAAAGAAGATTGTCTTTTAATTCTTTCATTTTAGAATGAGTATTATGCAGCAAAGACAGATGTTTATTAAAAAGTATCTAAGATAAAAAAATTTTTCTAGATGACTAGAAAAGATTTATCAGGTCAGAGAGAATGGATAGATAAAAAAAAAGAGCGAACGAGAAAATGGAAGTCTATGTGATTTGTATATAGAATGAAAACAAAAAGATTTTAGAGAAAAAAAAACGTACAGTAGCTTCATTGCATTGATTGCATTTAACGACGTGCTGTTCTCGTTTGCCGGAAATGTCTATCATGGCTTGACAAACCCTGCAGGTAACCATAGGCAAACCACCCTGACTAGCAGATTGGAAAGGTGGTGGTAATTCATCGGGTCCAATTGGGGAAACTGTATTTACGTTCGGTTGAACGTTTACATTTGGCTGAATATCCTCTACGAGAAAATGACAGATGATATATGCTCTAAAAGACTGTCGACATTGTATATCGACAATTTTTACATTCTCATTTTTTCTTTTATTTACCTGTAATTTCGCTTGTGTAGGGTTGAACAAAAACATTTCCTCCCGTTCTTATTAAGGGCTCACGTTCACCCTCCTTTCCGTCACCCATTTTTCACGAATCACTAAATTCCACTGTCGATGTCTAGTGTCTACGAATCTAGACTCGACTTTTTTTAAAATGAATTTTGACAACACCGACGATGATGACAAATACCACCGCGAGCCCGTGCCCGTCGGGACCTGTCGTCGAGTGTTCGTTGATTACTAATTGTAGATAAGCAAACGACGAAAAATTGCGGGGGTGTTATTTCATTTTCTCCCGGCAGAGTGCGCCCGAAACAAAGGCCTTTTTATTCAATTTCTTATTATTAACAATTACTTTTTAACAATATTCTTGTCAATATTTCACATTTTCAAAGTATATTATTAATAAATTTTCTAAACGCGGCATATTTATTTTCTTATTTGTAAATTTTTGAAGAATGTTCAAAAATGGTTTAAAAGTCCCGCCAATTTGGAGCTTCTCCGGTAACTTAACCTCAAAATTAAGGCTTCTTGCAGCTGTCAAATAATGTTTTATTATTCAGAGTCTTAATTAAAACTGCATTTTAAGAATAAAAAATGCCACCGAAACACAAATTTCAAGAAGGTACAAGTCGACGATTGTTTAATACAGGTTGGAATATGAATTCGGTTCAATTTTATTGTGATTCATCCCGAAATCAAAGGATGTTTTCAAAGTGTAAACAATGTCGCTAAAGTGAATTGTCTGTTTTATTTCTTAATATATTTAATGTTTGTAATAAATTTACTTATTTTATTTTAAAGGAGAAAAAGTATTGTGTTTTCACGGCCCATTGATTTACGAAGCCAAATGTTTGAAATCTCAAGTCGCAAAAGAAAAACAAGTCAAGTATTTAATTCACTACGCTGGTTGGAACAAAAAGTGAGTTCAAAACAAATTTAATTTTTTATTCATTAGTTTTACGTAAAAGTACTGTATACTAAATACTAAGTTTATGTGTAAACATAAAGTTATAATTTATTTAATTGAAATTGAAGAAAAATTGAAATTTTAAATTAAATTTATTGAAATTGAAAAAAAATTAAAATTTGAAATTGAAAAATTTTGCCTACAAGTTGGGACGAATGGGTACCGGAAAGCAGAGTATTGAAATACAATGAAGCAAACTGTCAAAAGCAAAGGGAAGTACAGCGTGCACATTCGAATCAGCAATCTTCGCAAAAAAGTAGAAAGAGTGCGACCGGTACGAAAACACAAGGGCGACGAAGTGAAGGAGGTCGGGAAAAGGACAGTGACAGTAGAGCGAGTACACCGGTTGCAAATGTGGAAAAAGCAACTAGTCGCTCTGGAAAATATAGCACAGGATCACTGTCAATCACATCTCACGATTCAATATCAGAAGCACCTAGAAAGCGAAGGGGGTAAAACAAATTACTACATATTTACTATTTTAATCCCTTTTTCATATTTATGATTATTAAATTACTAGCAAAAACTAGTAACTTTATTTTTATTTATTTTTTCTATTTTTAAATAGCCAACTTTTTTTTTTGCTATTTTATATAAAATTACCGATTTTAAAAATGATAGAATAAAAATTTTGAGTTTATTATAAAATAAAAAAAAAATTACAATAAAATCTATAAAAACTTAACGAAAAGCAAAAGAATGTACAAAAGACTAACTTCAAATGTGGACAGAATTAAAGAATACCACGATTATTAGAGTTAATAATAATTAATAATAATAATTCCTTTTTTTAGCCGATTGGAAACTTCCGGTGAATCCGAGGAATTCTTCACTAAAGTTGAATTAAAAATTCTAATACCTCATGATTTGAAAGTTTTACTTGTGGAAGAAAGTGAAACTTTGTCTAAGGGGAAAAAGTTACCGATTCTTCCAATGCGAATAACGGTTGAAAAAATTTTAAACGATTATGTCGCATATCAGGAAAAAGATAATGTTAACGATTCTTGCAGGTGCGTAAATTTATACTCTTTATGACAAATAAATAAATAAAAATCGAAAAATTAACATTTATTTTTGTTAACAGAGAAAGTGCGTTGGAAGTAACGAAAGGAATCCGAGAATACTTCAATATTTCCCTCGGTCAACAGTTGCTTTACAAATGGGAAAAGTTACAATTTGAAGACATAACAAGAGAAAATCCTGACGCTTTGCCCAGTCAGTTGTATGGAGCCTTCCATTTGTTACGTCTCTTTGGTGAGCGATTTCTATTCAAATTTGATTTTATAACTCTATTTTTAACAGAGTGTCTACTAAATTTAAACCAATTGAAAATTTGCTTTTTAAAAATATTGTAAAAAAATTGTAGTAAATTTTAGTAAACAATCTACTAAAAAATTTCATTATTGGAAAAGAATTTAAAAAATCGACTAAATTTGTTTCTATAAAGTTGGTAGACACTAATTTTATTCTACAGCTTTAACTTCAGACTAAAAAATCGATTTTTTAATGCAATTATAAATTTTAGTGAAGCTTGGCAGTATGCTTTCGTATATCGAAATGGACGAGAGGAGTGTTCAATTTTTAACACTCAGATTTCACGATTTTCTTCAATTTATGCAAAAGAACAAAGACAGCCTTTTTAACCTCCAACAAGACTATCGAGATTCCACATTGGAATATCAACGAAAGAATTCTCAGTCTTAAATTATTGTATATATACATATCTTTTTTTTTTTGAAAAACTTTACTGAACGAATTTTGATATATTCTGATCGCGACAAACTGTACATATATTTCATATATTATTTTGACATCATGTGATTGGTATTTAAATCAATGGAATCTACATTTGCAATGAACATACATTGCACGATTATCATGTTTAATAAAAATAATTATTGTCAATTTGGGTATCCGGACAAGAAGAACAATCCAAAAAAGGAAAAAAAATAGTTTCACTTTGGACTTACTTTTTGGATTTTTCATCCTGGTAAAAAAATCCAAGGAAATTAAAAATTTAATAGAAAATATTGAGATATAAAAATTTAAATTTCCGAAAATAATTAAATTAGTCAAGTAATTTAATATTGGAATTATATTGAAAAAAAATAATTGAATTCTTGTAAAGAATTTTATCAAAATTGTTGAAAATAATTTTATTTCTTTTAGAAATTTTTTTTATTTATGAAAATAATTGAATTTCTGTGAAGATTTTGATTAAAATTGTTAAAAATAATTGTATTTATCGGAATAATTGTTTTCAAAATTTTATAGAGAATAATTGAAATTTTTTTATATTGATGAAAATAATTGAATTTTTGTGAAGATTTTTTTTTATTTAATTGAAAAAATAATTGAATTTTTTGGGAAGAATTTTATTATTTATGAAAATAATTGAATGATTGCGAAGAAATTTATGAAAAAAATTTGTAAATAATTGAATTCCTGTGAAATTTTTATTATTTTATGAAAATAATTAAAGTTTTGCGTAGAATATTATTAAATTTTTTAAATAATTGAATTCTTTTGGAAAATTTTATTATAAAAGTAGATATTAAAAATCATTGAATTGAGGAAATTTTTTTTAAATCATTGAATTTTGGAGAACTATTTATGTAAATAATGAAATTTTTGTGAAAAGAATTTTATTATATATTTATGTTAATAATTAAAATCCTGCGATTTTAACATTAACATTTTTTCGTTTTTATTTATTTTTAATTTTTTTACTTTGGCCTTTTTTATTTTGGATTTTTTGTACTTTAAACCCTTTGGACTTTTTTTCTTAGATTTTTCGGTCTGGATTTTTTTGGATTGGATTTTTTGTCCTGCAATCGTCAATTTATTTGCATTTTATTTTCTTTTTCGTATTTGTATCGTATTTTTAATGTTTAATTTTTCCTATAGTTTTTAAGGGAATGTAACTTTTACCGAAAGTTATAAATAGAATAATTTTTTGACCTTTACGATCAAATAGAATATAATAGAAAATTTATTTTGGAAATTGAAAATTTGAATTTACCGCCCTTTTTTGTATGTTGTTACAAAATTTGTTTTTCGAAATTAACCGTCTATTTTTAGTTTATTGATTGTATTTCATAATTCCATCAATTTGTAGGCAAATTTAATTAAATAGTGTTAAGTAAAAATCGCATAAGGGCGCACAAGAAGGGCACTAATTGTTGAAATTTACGTCAGTGGTTTAAAGAGTGTGCATGCGCGTGCGAATGTACTGCCGGATCCGGAAACATTGAGCTTGCTTCAAGTCAGTCGGCCAGTTGCAACAAAAAATGGCGGAGGTCGACTTGAATATCGACAGCCTCATACAAAGATTGCTGGAAGGTACGTGAAAAACGAATATTTTTGCAAGAAGAACATTATTGCTTCGTTTTTTCGTTATTCAAAATACATCTTGAAATGCGGTTAGAGGCGTTCGGCATGTAATACTGTGAAAAAAATCGAGGATCGATGTCAGCCGCGTATACATCGAATGTGTACATATATATTGTTTGTTGTTAAACCGCAAGTTTATTGAAAAAAGGCTTTGCCCGGCTTACAGGTATTGTTGTTGAACGCCAAAAACGCTCCTTCTCCTTAAATGTCATATTATTATAAGTGCAATTATATCAAGAAGACGGCGCGACAATCTATCACGGGGGGGTTTCGATTTGTGATCTCGCGAGTTATGTATTGCTTTTCCTCTGACAAATGTTTTAGTTTTATTTAGTTTTCTTATTTTTAGAAAAGAGAAACAATGTTTTATTTCTTCTTTTCTCATGCTACGTTTCGGGACCTTTTGCGGTAAAGTATACCACACCCAGAATGACCAGGTTCAGAAGAAAGCCAAGCTTAAAGATATTTTCTCCTCAGACTTTGTTGGTACGCAACAAGGAACCATTCCACGTAGCTTTTGATTTTTTTTTTTTTTTGAAGAAAAAAATTATGTTTTTTTAGTCTTTACCGCCTTAACTCTGCATGGGTGTTAATTATCTGCTCGTCTCGTTAGTTGCATCATAATGATAAACAAATTAAAACTATCACTCGAACATTTTTACCCAGCAGTGTTAAGACGTCATTATATTTCTTTCTGTCATTACATTTTGTCTGGAAATTTATTTTGAAGTGACTTTTTCAAAAAGTAGACAAGGAAAATCAATTTTTTGTAATAAAAATTGGAGTGTAAATATAGAATTTAGATTCGAATGTTTTCATTGAAGATTTTTCTAAGAAATCGTATTTTTTAGTTAAATTTTCTATATTTTTTTCAATTTTCGATATTTTGAGTTTTTTCTTATTACGTTTTAATGAATACGGAAAGAAATTTAAAGTACAAATGTAATGAGACAAGAATATGTAGTCATGTTGCTTTTAATTAAATTAAAGCTTTTAATTTCTAGTTTTTTCAGTATAGGATGTTCCTTGTAGTGCATTTTGTTAATGCAATTAAATTTGAATAGGGTAAAGGCGGGTAATTTCGGACAATTTCTTCTATGAACTTTTTAATTTAATTTCTTAGCATAAATTAATAACAAAAATTTTTTATATAAATTTCCATTATCCCAAAAATATTTTCCGATAATATTTCTTATTTCTTTTAATTCGTATTTTATTAAAAAATATTATTTTTGTCCTACCTGCACAGAAAGTATGTCATTTCGGGCACTTAAGGCGGGCGCAAAGTAACACATTACGCCCGGGAGTAAGGGAAGCGGGCGGAAAAGTATTTTGCGCCCGCTTGTTAATTGACTTTGTTTTTATGTTGACTATAGAACTGCAAACATTTTCAACTTGTTTTATTTTGTCTATAAAAATTTGCAATTTTTTTTTTATTTTCTCTAAAAAAAATAATGAGACATTTGGTTTTGTTCCCATTTCGTTTATCAAAATTGTCAATTTTAAAAGTTCTTGTTTCAGTTTTGTTCAATTATTAATTACTATGTACGTTCTAAATAAATACTATGTTTCCAGAATACATTGTTTTTTATTTCTATTTTAAAACTTCTATCATTATAGACTTCATTCGATATAATGTTTATATAGAGCTTAATTTTTAACTAATATGAACGTTTAATCGTGCGTGCCCTCAATGTCATACTTTCCATGCAGTTAGGACAAAAAATTATGTTCGCATCATGGGCGCAAAGGTGCTTACGACTTTGGCGGAATCACCTATTTTGCGCCCTTGTTACGAAAATAACTATTTCCTGAAATAATTCACTCGCTTTTACTCTAATTTACAACAAATTGCAAATAATCATTTTGCTTACGTATATTTTGAAAAACATTTTATTTTCTTTCCATATCATTTTAAAAAAATTTCTGAAAATTATTTTTTAATTTCAGTCTAAACAAAAATTTGCAAAAATTTTTTTTGGATAATTCTGGATTTCAATTGGAGAATGTCTTTTGATTTATTTAAAAAAGACAAAAGGTGTATTCACGATGCACGAGGCTTGTTGTTAGAATATATGTATAGTGAAACAATAAGTGTTTGATAGGATGTTACATAGCGTTAGATCAGCTATAATTATTTTAACTTGTTAAATGCAGCACGTGTGCATTAGGCTTACAAACTGGAGTGTAATACCAAAATGCACATTCGTAAATGTTAGTTAAAGTCGTATTTATACCCTCCATTTATTTTTACATCCAACGTGCTTCTTTTTCTCATGCTTTAATTTCATTTCAAAAAAACAAAACTAAAAAGTGTTTATTCAATCTTTTAATTAATTAAAAGCTGTTGACATTTGGAATTTTAAATAACTTTTTATTTTGTTAAAGGGTAAAAGCAGCTTTAATGACATTTGAGTTTATTTTCCATTTTTTGTTCTATAAATATTTATAAACTTTATAATTAATTTTTTTTACAATGGCACAAAATTGAATTTGAAGAAGAAATAAGTAAAAATCGTTCGAAACTTTATAGGATCGAAATAAATCGACATGATTTGATCAATTGACATTTACGACACTGAAAAATGTTATTTATGTGAAAAAAAAATTAAAGTGTCCGAGTGTTAAGTACTCTCCTCAGTCACTCTCGTTATAGATTACTGATAAGATTTAAAGTTTGATCTGATAACAAATTATCCTATTCTTAAGTTATGATTTAAGAGTTTATATTCATGAAACGATCTGATTCACGACGAGATGAAAATTTCGTCTTCAACTAGGACAAAAGATGAATATAAATTTAAATTTAATTCAAGTTATAAGTCATTTATCTTCTTATAGAATAAAATTACAGGGTTTTCTTTTTACGAAATGTCAATTAACGTGGGGAAAAGTTTATTGGGGTAGATAAGATTTTGTATTTCCAAGTTTCTTCTCGTAACAAGGGAATTATAAACAGTTGACAGGAAATGTCAGTCGACTGAATTAGAATTTTAATTCAGATGTCAAAATTTCTAACGTTCAAATCAATGAAAATTTTGTCGTGACAAAATTTTCCTTTATTTGAACGTTAGAAATTTTGTATTTTATATTTTTAATTTATATTTTTGATTTATATTTTATTTAAAAAAAATTGTAATTAATGAAAAAAAATTGTAACTGTAAAGTAAATGTTTAAATTTAGATTATTTTTCTCTCGAGTGTAGTAATTTTTTGAAAATATTTAAACCGAAGGTAAATTTTTCCTTATTTGAACTTTAAAAACTACGTTGTTAAAGTTCATAACGTTTATAATTAACGATTTAGAAAAAAAAATATTTTCTATTTAAATTTAGCACAAAAAGAGTTTTGTAAATTTTTTCGAATAGAAATAGAAAAATTTGTAAACAAAACAATTGTTTTTGTCAAGAAAAAATATTTTTTCTCGCAATCGTTGATAATAAACGTTGTGAATTTCACAGACGTCAAAAACTTTAGGAAAATTAATTCTGAAATATTTAGTTGAATTCTTAATAAATTTTTTGAATTAAATAATTTTTTGTCTCGAGGTTTTAAAGGAAAAAAAAAATATCAGATGTTATTTTGAAAAATGCATAAAGTTCCTAAAAGTGAAAAGAGTCGATGTCGATTTATTTTCAGTTCATGATTGCGATAGGTGCTATTTTCAGAATAGACTATGTTCTACATTTCAATATCGTTGCACTCAATGTTTATATAGATTTATATTTATTTATTTATGCAATAATATTGAGGAGTTAAATTTTTTGTAATTTATTTTTCGCTTTTTGCTTCTTGTGTTAACTTTAGACTATAATTGTAATTTAATTACATGTTTTGATTTTGTTTCCATTTTGACGAAAGTTTCGGTTTTCTACCAAGTTTTCCGCATTCGGATTATAAGTTCTCTTGCATTTTAACGACAAGCTGATTTGATATCCAACACCCACGACACACTCCGACTGACAACAAAACCATATACGCCATTCAATGTGTCTACAGTTATAAAACATCATTTGAAAATTGGTATTTTACTTTAAATCTCAGTTTTCTCATTCACGTAACCTTGGTATTATTGAATTTTCCAATAATCATTGTGACACCAATTCAACCGTGTATTAAAGTTCTCCATGGTTGTCTATAAATATACCACAACACTATTGTATGACAATCATCTGGTCACTTACTTTTCATGAAAAAAAAAGGTTCCACTTTAAATTGAAAGTAATTAATATTAATCTTTTTGCGCAAATAAAATTGAACCGCTTCTATTTGTCCACTTCTCCTTCGTACTAGAACGTAACAGTAGAATTGAATAATTAAAAGTAAAAAATTTATTTGTTCAACCAAAAAAAAAAGAACTCCTTTGACAAATACCAAAAATAGATATATAAATTCTGAGATTAAAGCTCGATTTAGTTTTGATAGCTTGATTGTATTGAGAAAAAAACCTAAACTGAATTGTTAATTATTTTTTGACTTTTTAGTTCGAGGATGTCGTCCTGGAAAATCGGTGGTCATGTCAGAGGCAGAAGTACGTGGCCTCTGTCTAAAATCAAGAGAGATATTTCTTCAACAACCAATACTATTGGAATTAGAGGCACCTTTGAAAATCTGTGGAGATATTCACGGTCAATATACTGACCTTTTACGGCTTTTCGAGTACGGCGGATTTCCACCAGAAGCCAACTATCTCTTTCTCGGAGATTATGTCGATAGAGGAAAGCAATCATTAGAAACAATTTGTCTTTTGCTTGCTTATAAAATAAAATATCCGGAAAATTTTTTCCTCCTCAGAGGTAATCATGAATGCGCCAGTATAAATAGGATATATGGCTTTTATGACGAATGCAAGCGCAGGTATAATATCAAACTTTGGAAAACGTTCACCGACTGCTTTAATTGTCTGCCGATTGCAGCGATTATTGATGAGAAAATTTTCTGCTGCCATGGGGGACTCAGCCCTGACCTACAGGTGACCAAGACCTTTGTTTTATTTATACTATAAAAAAGTTGTAAAAGAGAAAAAAGGGGTGCTCATTTTATTGGAAACTTATTCATTGAGAAACAACATTATTGATGGAAAATAATATTACATTATGCGCTCTTGTAGCAAAACGTGGGCGGTCACGATCAACTAACAAGTTAATTGTGCTGTTAAATGTAATAATGATGCGCTATTTTCAAAAATTATTTTATTTTTTTTATTTTCAAGTGTCTTTAATAAGAAATTATCTTTAAAACCTGAAGTAGCAATTTTTTCCAATTTATTTCTTTATTTTTTAATTAAAATTAAACTTGGAATTGTTTTTTAAACAACGAATAATTAGTTATTTAGTGAAAATAATTACTTTAGTAATAATTACTTTAGTAGTAATAATTCTTTTAGTAATAATTTAGTAAAAATAATTAGTTTTAAAAAAATACTTTTTCGCTTCTACGAGTGAAGTTGAAAAACTTGCACTCGTATGGAGAGAAAAAATATTTTTTTCAACTCTTCTGTTTATTTTCATTTTTTTCCTTTGCTTGAATAATCGAATATGATAATGCACATATTTTGGACTAAGCATACGATTTTACATAATAGATAGCAGTAAAATTTTCTTTCAGGGAGAAAACTCTTTATTATGTTAATTTATTTCCTCGCGTGATAAATCGTAATAAAATTCTCTTAGATTCGATTTTTCTAACAGTGCATAATTCAGGTTTATAATCTTATTCTCAGCAAGATTTAAGAGGAAAATTTTTTTAGATTGTAATTTGATTGCAAACATTTATTATTTCTTTCTTTTTTTTCATTTGCAGGGAATGGAACAAATCAGGAGAATTATGCGACCGACCGATGTTCCTGATACGGGATTACTTTGCGATCTTCTATGGTCCGATCCGGATAAAGATGTTCAGGTATTTCTACAAATATTTTTCTAGTAAATTTTCCTAAAAATTCGAATTTTCACAGGGACAATTATTTTTTTATGAGAGACAAGTCCGCAAGGTTTTTCAAAGCGAAAACGAAGGAATGAGACGATATTTATTATTTTAGCTTCAAATTTTAATTTTTTGTTGGTAATTGTTCTTAAAAAAAAAAGTTTGTCACAGATCAGGGAAATGTCAGAAAATTTTATCAAGAGTACTGAAAAACTATAAAATTTCTAGAATAACTGTAAATATTGTTTTATTTTTATAAATCAAATTTTAATGAACTTGAAACTGTAAATTCTGTAAATAATAGAATTTTTTTAATTTTTAATGTAAAATCTTCAAATGAAAATTATTATTATTATTGAAAATTAATGAAAATTATCATTAAAAATTATATTAAAATATTCATTAAAGAAGATTTCACATTTACGAAAATTCAAATATATGCAAAAAATAATTACAGTAAAATTTTTATTTTGGTTAAAATTCTTCAAAATATTAATAAGTTCTTTAAACTGTTCAAAAATTATTTTAAGAAATTCAATTACTTTTTGAAAAATTAAAATATTTTGAAAACACCAACTCTTGGAATTTGTTCATTATAATTTTTTGTGTGTCTACAAACGTTTTGAAATATTTAACAACCTTGAATTCTCCTTCAATTTTTTTCCGCACCTTAGAAATTTTTGAATAACAATGAATTTTAAAACAATACCTTGATTTTTTCTTATTTCTGTAAATAAGAAAATTCTAGAATAACTTTTTTTTAGTTGTTAATTATAATTAATTTTAAGTCGAAAAACTTTTAGTTAAAAGGTATTGCGGATTTCAGAAAGAAATCGAAATTTTACAAGATTTTTAAATAATATAATATGTAATAATAATTTAGTAGTAATTTATTTAAAATTATTTATCTAAATGAATTTTCAAAGAATGTTAATTTAATTATTGAAAAATAATTGAATTTTAGAAAGATTTAAATTTTATTTTTGTTCAAAAATTGAAGTTTCTAAAATTTTTATTTAGAATTCTAAAAGTAATTAAATTTTTTAAATGTTTCTGTTCTATTTGTCAAATATTGTTTAATTTTTATAAACAAAGAAATTAAATATTTTTATATAATTGAAATTCCCATAAATTAGATGAAAAATAATTGAATTTTTAAATTACTTTACTGAAATCTTTGAAATTAATAGAGAAAAGTTCGCTACACTCTTAAAGTTTTAAATTAAATTTTCACCTCTAAAAATTATCTTTTTTTATAATTGATTTTACCTTGAATTTATTTTTATAGGAAGCAGAAAAAAATTTGAACTTCTATGAGAAAAACAGGGAAATACGAAATCAAATTTTTGTAACGACCTTAAAAATATTATTTTCTTAAAAATTTGTGCCTATCAAAATTTCAGGACTTCAAACTTGAAAACAAAATATTTTCTAAAATTTTTCCATTTTAAAAACTTTGTAGACTTCAGCTTTATTTTTTTTTTAATTTCGTCACGATTTGAATTTTAATATAAAAAATATTTTTTTGGTAATTTATAAAATTATCTCCTTTCTATAAATGGGTAGTTCTACAAACGAGGGAATATATTATGTCCAAGGTTGTTTTTTACATTAATTTTGAAAAAAATAAAATTATTTTCAATGGAAACTGTAGTGCTTAATGATTACTATTATGTCACAAAACGTTACCCGGTTTCAAAAAATATTTTTTGCAAAAAATAAGCATTCAAGTGCTAAATTCTCAGTTTCCTGGCATGTCCCAATGTGAAAATGAAAGTTAATAAATTATATAAATATTATTTTAAAGCGATTAAATGAAAATTTACACTTGGATAATAATTTCAAATAGTTGTACTTTACAAAGATTAAAATAATTGTTACATTACTGGATATTTTATTTAAAAGATATTATCTTGAATTTTGTCCATCGAATTAATTCTCAGTTTCCTGGCATCATAAAAAACGTTAAAAATATTAAGAATTTTTATTCCGATTAATTCACCATTTTTCACAGTGCTTAGTAAAGGTTAACTAAATATGATATCGCTTGCATCTTATTTAACTTGCAGTTCAATTAACTAAAATTGTGTACTTTGTGACCGAAATGGCCATTTGGTCAGGCAAATTCTCAGTTTCCTGGCACGTATTTTTAAAAAAAATATTTTATTTTTTTATACTTTTGTTGCTCGAGGTGTCGTAGAACCTTATTCCCTGTTGACCAGTATGCTTTATTTTGTTATTAAGCGTTATTTTTCAATTTTTTAGACGAAAAATGACCAAATTCTCAGTTTCCTGGCACTTTCTGACAGAATTTACATGTGCTTAAGATGTAAAATTTACAATTTTTATTTTTTTGACTGGCCACTTTTAGGTAACTTTGATAATATTTTTAACTTGAATTTAACCTACTTTTTAAAACCTGAACGTAAAAAAAATATTGTGCCAAAATTTTCTTCATTTTCGTCCTTCGTTTGTAGAACTACCCAAATGTTGAGCTTATTTTATTTTTACTTTTCTTCTCATAATTTTTGAGAATATTTTAATAGGAAATATTTTTTTGTCAATTTAGAAAATTAACTCCTTGCTATAAATGTTAAGCTTATTTTATTTTTACTTTTCTTCTCATAATTTTTTGAGAATATTTAAATAGAAAAAAATATAGAGTTAAGTTAATTTTATTTTTGCTTTTCTTCTCATAATTTTTTGAGAATATTTAAATAGAAAAAAATATAGAGTTATTTAAGTTAATTTTATTTTTGCTTTTCTTCTCATAATTTTTTGACAATATTTAAAAAAAAATATTCGTTCATTTAAGAGTTAAGTTAATTTAATCGTAGTTTTTTTAAAGAAAATTGTAGGAAAATTTGAATAATCCATTTATATTCGTTAATAAAAACTAAATAATCTTTATTTGCATTTTAGGGTTGGGGAGAAAATGATCGGGGAGTGTCCTTCACATTTGGACCAGACGTAGTTTCAAAGTTCCTCCACCGCCACGATATGGATCTCATTTGCAGGGCGCACCAGGTCGTTGAAGATGGTTACGAATTCTTTGCGAAACGACAGCTCGTCACATTATTTTCCGCTCCAAATTATTGTGGAGAATTCGATAACGCCGGAGGAATGATGAGCGTCGATGAGACTCTCATGTGCAGTTTTCAGGTATAATAACTCTTATTTTTCCATTAATATCGGAGATATTCCCACGCAAAAGCCGTCAATCTATCCGTGCGTCACTATATGATTAAATAAAATTATATCTTTTCCTTATAAAATATTATAAAAGCAATTTTTTCTAAAACAAGGCATTTAAGAAAATAAAATTTAATTTCTAATTTTATCGTGAAAAAAATTCAATTTATTCAATTCTCTGAAATATTTTTTTATTTAATATTTTTTCTATTCTTTTTTTTGATTAAACCGCAATAAATTTCTGAATAAGAAAAATCTTTTCAGAATATAATTTATCTAAATTCTAGTTTCTTTTGTTTTCAAAAAATACAATTAATTTGACTTTTCGCAGATTTTGAAACCATCGGAAAAGAAGGCAAAGTATCAGTACTCGGGAATGAACATGGGCCAGGCCGTAAGGCCATCAACGCCACAGAGGAACCCCACAAAAAAGAAATGACCACTTTCGACTGAATATTCGGTGGATTTTGGTGCATAGCCTCATAAATTGGCGTTTTAGGTAAGAATAAATTGCGAGTAGAGGGCAATAAATCAAGGTGTGCAAACACCCCACAAAAATTTACAATAACAAACAATTTTTTTCTTGCAAAAAAACAATGAAGTCACTGAAACTTAAAAATTTAAACGAAAAAAAAATTGTGCTTCAAAAACCTCGTTTCCTTCTGGGCTTTCAAATCAAAAGATTTTCAATTTAAAATTTAAGTTATAATTAAAATTATGATTAAAATTACAATTAAAAATATAATTGAAATTCTGATTTAAATTTTAATTTCAATTTTAATTGAGATTATAATTTGAATTTTAATTGAAATTCAAATTCAAATTATAATCTCAATTAAAATTGAAATTAAAATTTAAATCATAATTTCAATTATATTTTCAAATTGTAATTTAAATCATAATTTGAAATTGAATTAATTTGAAGAGAAACAAAATTCTCTTGGCAATAAGATTTTAGCATGTTTTCTGGATTATAATTTCCATAATTTTGACTAGTTTCCAAAGCTTCCATCAGTAACGTAACACGTTAATAGTGACTCAGGAGTTTTTAATAAACTCTCCAGGTTTATTAATAATTCAGATTTTGCTTTTGACGACAAATTACCTCACACAAAATGAATGAAGCCAAGAGTTTTCGAAGCACGAATAAATTTTAGTATTGCTTCATATAAATGTGCACAGAGAGAAAACGAATTATAATTTTTGAAAGATTTGCACACCTCTCTTGTAGTTTTAACTTTTCGAGATCCTAAACACGAAGTAGCTCCTCCGTGGGTTTGTTTTCAAACTTCAAAGTACAAAAGTAATTTCTTAATCTTGTTTTATGAATTATTTTAGTATAGAGAACGTAGCTTAGCGAGTGCCGTAAGCTCAAAATAATATTTGAAATTTAGTAAAATTCTTGATTTTAGAATTTTGTTTTTTCAGCTGCGGAACGCCACGCTACGGATCTATACATATACAGAAAAAAAAACTAAAGCATGGAATTATTCTTTTTATTTATAAAATTTACTCGGTAAGGTGATAAGGACAAATCTCACTTCCTACTTATTAATAATTGTTTAGAGATGTGGCTTCCAGCCTGCATTTGTACACGAAGAAATTTTTAAAAAAAATTTCCTTTATTTATTTTCTGTTAGTAAATTAATTCTAATTAGTATTAATGTACACACTCTCGCATTTTTTGCTGATTCAATTTCATTGAGTATCGGGAAGCCACGTTTATTGATTATTTGCAGAGCATTCGTTATTTTTTGAAAACAAGTTTCCTTATTTATGATTTTTTTTTTTTTTGCTAGAAGTAAGAAAAATTATTTTTAGAATATTGATAATTGTTAAGAGATTTTTTTTTGAACTTTAAAAAAAATTTGTTGACGTGAGATTAATATTAAAATAATGTAAGTAACTATAGAGAAATATATTTTGAGAAAAATAGAGAGAATGCTCTGTAAATAATTGTGTGTGTAATATTATTACCAAGAGCGGTGATATTTTACTCGAACTCAGTATTTAACGTTATTGATCATACTGTAAAGCATTTTGCTTATCAATAGTCGTAGACCTTTCAGTATATTTACTCTGTATTTCTTTTTGTTATTTAGCTTCGTTTTTTTTTTTTAAAGAAAAATTTCCTATTGAAACTTTTATTAGGAAGAAAGTCTTCTTAGCCTACAGTATTTGAATATTTTTTTGCATTCTCATCATCGATAATGAGAAGGTTTTTCTTCTTTTATTTTTTGAGGATCGTAAGTAAGATGATTTCATTCTAAATATGCGAAAACTGCTATACCAGAGAAATGCATTGTTACTTGCATCAATTTTTTTTACGTAATTTTGACCAAAAAAAAAATATATTGTTTGGCAATTCTTTTTTTCTATTTGTTTAAGGATTTAAGATAATGTCTTCCGTTCAGTAAATAATCTGATCAGTTCTACGCACTACTAATATTACTATTATTACTACTACTATTGTTCATTGACATTTCTGTTATCGCTGAGCGCTTTTAATCCAGGCAATTTAACTTGGAAACTATGAACTATGACGCTAGCTTTATTGTTAATTGTTTGTAAGACTAAAGTAACACGTTTGTCAAAATAAATACACTGTGAAAAATATTAGAACTGAACATAATGCAAAAAAAAAAAAAAAATTAGAAGCGATCTAAGTTACAATTGATTTCACTGGATAGGAAGATTAATCAGTATATTTAATATTGTTACTCTTAGTATTTAGATCTCTGTATACCCTGGAAACTGATTGATTCCAATCGTTTATTGAGAGAGCTTCGAGGGTCATGTTTTGACGTTATTTTAGAAACAAGATTATTATAAATAATTATATATATTTTTTCGTTGGATTTGATGAAACACTATTATTGATTTTAAAAAGTCGACGCCCAAAGTCTGACAAAATGTACACAGGGTGGCTTTTGAAAACAAAGATTAAAAAAAACTTTACGAACTCTGAGTTCAAATTTATTTATTTATTGTTTTTTATTTTGTATTTATTTTTTATTTTCTTTACATCTTTGCTTTCTTTTCTATAACTGATTTCAATAATAAAAAAAAAAGTATATTTTTCGTTAAAAAAAATATTTCGAACTCTTTAGTTATATATATATGTAATTTTACATTATTTAGAATTAAAAAAAAAATGAAATATAAATGAAGTGGAATTGTTTCGACAAATTTTATATTTGTCGATTATAATTGTAATAAATGACCAAAGATAGAAATCAGAGATTAGCGACCATTTTGTGTAAATTTTGCAGCTTTGGCTAAAGGCAGGGCAAAGGAGGAATTCTTCTGTGATTCTCTACTTCGTGAATAAAAAAAAATATAAGGGCAAAGAGATGTATACATGCATTACACGTGAGCAATAATTGTAAAGGGCACGTCTGCTGCTGATCGAAAGTTTTGCCGTATGAAAAGATCGTTTTAAATTATGTACTAATTAACTAGTGTATGCGGCACACTCATTTAATCGCAGTAGACGCACCGATTTGACAAAAAAAAATTAAACTGTACATCATCAGATGATAATAAACATGTATATTGTTGTATCAGTGGAGTGCTGCTTATTTGACAGTCCTTTGTCACGATTAGTTGTATGTTTTCATTTTTTTTCTTTATGGGTTCTTAAAAAGATTTTTTCTTTTAAAGGATGGCTTTTATCTTTTTCTATTTATTTTATTAGAGTTTTAGAGAAACTCGTGAACATTTTAAAAACAATTTTTTAATTTCATTTTATTGGGCTTAATTTTATAATTCATAGTTCAACTATTTCTTTAAAAAAAACTATTTATATTAAACTATTCCTTTAAATTCATTAGTATTTCGAATACATTTTGAAATTAGATAATTAAATTAGACTTCACTGTGATAACATTAAATTTTTTGAATATTTAATTACAATTATATTTTTTCTACGCCTTGAAACTTTTATTGTCATCAGGTTTTAGATAATATGACTTTTTCTATATTTTTTTTAACTTAATTTAAAAAAATGCGACTTTTTTTATTTTTTTCCAAATATATTGCAACAAATTATCACATCCCGTGAATAAAGTGCATTTTATTTCGATTTTTATAGTTTAAAATGTAACTATAATAAAATCATTCAAAAATATTCTTTAAATAATTTTTTTAAGATACATAACTTTTGAAATATAGGATTAAACAATTTTTCAATAATTATGAAATTTTGTTACATTTTATATTGTAAATAATTGATTTTTTTAAACTATTTCATTAAAATTTTGTGAAAATCAAATTTTGAAGAATTTTATTCAAAAAATATTGAAAATCATTGAATTCTCAACAATTTTAAAGGAAAATTTTCAAATGAAAATTTAATAATCAAAATTAATGAAAATTAAGTTCAAGAATTTGTATAAAAATATTTTTCTTTAAACTAATTCTAAGATTTTTTTCATTATAATTTTTTAGAATTCAATTATTTTTAATATTTTCGATTACATGTTTCCTTCGAAGTATATTGCAGTAAAAATATCACTTTTTAGGTATAAAAAGTAAATTATTTGATTTTAATAGTTTGGAAAAAATAACTAAAGCCAAATTTTTCAAAAACACTTTTTTTTAATAATTTTTTTCAATACAGGCAATTAAAGTATTTTTTAAAACTAAAAAAATCATTAAAAAATTTTTAAATAATTGAAATTTTGTAAAATTCAATTGAAAATTATGGATTTTTTAAAAATATTTCATTAAAATTTTTGAAAATCAAATTTTAAAGAATTTTGATTTTAAATTTTATAAATACCTAATTATTCATTTTTAAAAAATATTAATGAAAAATATTAAAATGAAAAATAATTAAAATTAGTCCTAAAAAATTATAGGAAAATATTTTATAATAAAAGGCATTTCCTAGAATTTTTTTATGATAATTTTTTAAGATTCAATTTTCTTTTAAAAAAATTAATTAAAATTTTTTATAAATCTTCCTTTTTAGATCTTTGAAATTTTTATCATTAAAATTTTGGAGAACTCATGTATTTTCATATTTGTAATTAAATTTCTTCAAAACTTGATTATTTTCTGATATTTTCCAAAAATTCAATTATTTTCCAAAGATTTTACTAAATTTAAATTTGATAATCCTTGAAAACAAAATTCATATTAAATTTTTATATAATAAAAAAATCTATTATATCTTTCTAAAGTTATTTTAAAAAACAAATTTTAAGAATTTTTTATTATAATTTTTTAAAAGTCAATTATTTTCAATAGTTTTGGTTAAATAATTAAAAATAATTCACATTACAAATTTTTCAATAAAAACCACGAAAAATTAAAGTTAGAATCATTATAGAAAATTTACTTTTTCTATTTAAATAATTTCAATTATTTTTTTCTAATTTAATAATTTAATAATTTTAATAAATTCTCGAAGAACTTTCGAAAAATTATTCAAAATAATTGATTTAGAGAAGTAAATTAATTTAAAATATTGTAGAAAAATAAATTGAATTTAGAAAAGTTTACAGTTATATTTTTAGAAATATTTTTAAATAATTATTATTTATTTTTTAAATAATTGATTTAGAGGAGTAAATTGATTAAAAATATTGTAGAAGAATAAATTGAATTTAGAAAAGTTTATACAGTTATATTTTTAGAAATAATTGAATTTTAAATGATTTGAAATTGTAGTTTGAAACAATTTAATTGTGCGAAAAAATAAATGAGAAGTAGGTATTTAAATATTTATTTACCAAAATTATTGAAGTTTTGAATAATTGAATTTAGAAATCAGTCAGAGGCCAAAGAAATGCAAAAAGAAATTTTTTTTCACAACAGTCTATGAAATTAAAGACTTTTTTCATTTTTTTTTCTATTATCGAGTAAAGCAATTTTTTCGTGTTTTAGGAATCGGGAAAATATTATCAGAGGCAGAAAAAAGAACGTCGTTTAAATAAAATTTTGTTTCAGATTTTATTTTCAAATATCAATGTGAGGTATTCAATTGAAGAAACAATTAATTAATAAATAAAATTCCGTTAGCAACCTGTAACTGCGAGGAAAAGACGGTTGTGGATGGTGCAAATAGTTGGTCATTTTTTTTCTTTTTTTTTACACTTTTTTTTAAATTCGTTCTTGATAATGAGTGGCGTGTTCCAAAAAGGACGACGTAGAAATCTCCCTAGTGGACGTATGCTGTAAACGAAGAAAATATCAGATTAGCTAAATTAAAACCATAACTATATTGTCACACGTTTCAAAAATCATTTAATATTTGGAAAATTGATGAATTGTTTGTCAATTCTTTTTATTAAAAATGTTACTAAGGAAATTTTTCCTGATTTTTGAAACGTTGATATCATTAATTATTAATACATTAACATTTATCTTTTTTTTAATTTAGGATCGAACAGAGAAAACAACATAATGGTAAATATTAAAACCTGGAATTTGGAAACGAAGTCATGCAAAGTTTCTGAACGAATTTTTTTATTTCAATTATTTACTTCCCAAGCAGAGCAAAATTTGCAGCAGTGCTTCTATTGCAGTTTTTGCGTGGTTTTTAGATTTATCACAAATTTGGAGATATTTTTTTGTTTTTCATAAATATTACTGCGATGTAATGAAGAGCAATCATTAAGAAAATGATTTATTATTTATTTATATGATGTAAATTGCAAGCTTGATGGATTATACTCTCGTTTCCTGATGCGGTTTTAGAGACACTGTCAGTTTTTAATATTGGACACCTTTTCATCATCTGGCATTATTCATTTCGTCTTTCAAGAAATCTGTAAGTCTTATTTTTAAAAGGATCAATGGCTCAATAAATTATGTGAGATTTTTTTTAATAATGTTTCGAGACAAAAAAAAATATCTTTTGTTTCGAGACAAAAACTACTGAAATTAGATTTTTTAGGAAATTAAATTAATTAAATATTTCTAAATTCTAAATTCTAAATTTTTATTTATGGAAAAAATATCAAATTTCAAAAAAATGATTTGTCGAAATCTATTTGCAGTAGTTCGGTAATTAATAATCATTAATGTAAATTAATTAATAGGGAGAAACAAAACTCGATTTCGTTTCATTCAAGGTGAGAGGACATTGGCAGTTAAAATAATTTTCAAATACTGGAAATTGATTATTAAAAGGGGGGGTGGACTCAAAATGAAAATTGATTGTCTGCTCACTTCAAAGGGGTCTACGATTGTACCAGGGGCTGGTACAGTGAACTCGTGGTACGGGCAGCGAATAATAGTAGTATGTTTGTGGTGATCCTGAAATGACAGATAATCATTTCAAAGAAAATCTTGACAAAATTTTTTATAACATACTTTGTACGAGAAAAGCGACAAGAGACATTTTTTTTAAACAACATTTAACAATAATATTCTAGCATCATATCAGTTCATCTCCAATTCTTTTACGCAAATAAATTTATTTTTGCCTGATTAAAAAAAATAAGTACGATTTAAATAAATTCGAAAAATAAATAAAAAAAAAATATTTTAGTAAATAATTTTAATTATATTATACGAGAAATCTTTTGATAAAAAATAAATTCCCTATCAAGATAAGAAAGACAAAATTTTAATTCGATTTTCTAGAAGCGTAAAGAATTCTATTTTATAAACGATTTTAATCAATTAAAAGTTAGATTCTAAACAGATGAACTGATTTCAATAATTCAAAGTGAATTATATTCCAATGATCGATTACGCACCACGTTATAAATGTGGGATTATTATAGACATTTATGAGGGAAACAATAATTTTATTCGCTGCTAAAGGCTGTTTATAGCACTTTCAATATTTGCTAAACTATAAAAGACAAGAAAAAAAGAAAAAAAAAATTTGGCGGATTCATGCTACTGCTAAAAAAGCTGCATGACCAAAAAATAAGTGCAAGACTTCGGCGGAAGTCTTAAAAATTGTGAAAAAGTGCTCACGTCTCTATTTAAACAAAGTGGCTAGCCAAAGGCCCTCCAGGTCTGGAAAAAAAGTTGAACGAAATTTCACGTTCATGATGGTAAACTACAGCGTTAATGAGCACAAAAAATCAGCTTTCTTTTCTAATTAACATATTTTTGTTCGTTTTTTTCTTTTGCAGATGCAAAATTTGCCAGTTTTTTCTTTCTGGATTTTTTTCAGGATCCAACCATAATTTGTGAGTTTCGCAATTTATCAAAATTATTCATAAAATGGAAAAATTAAATTTTCAAGTAAAAACCAAATGCAAAATTTAATTTAGAATAAATAAAGAAGTATAAATTCAAGCCACACTTTCAAATTAATAATTTCGATCATCGTTTTTCTTTGAAAAATTCATCAAAAAAATGGGATTGCACTCCGTTATACCTGGAAATGCTGAGCATTGATCGCCTCATTTTTTGAAGCTCGAATGCGTAGGTGCGAATTTCATAGCTAGCTAATTGAGCTTTAAAGCGTAAGAACCTTTGCAAAAATACTGATGCAAAAAGAGCAGCACTTCTGCTCTTATTCTATTTTTTTTCGAACTATAAATAGTTTATTCATAATATTATAAAAGGTCTCACGTCAAGATCATCAAGTAATTGCGCATTTACTATTAATATAATTATAACTTTCCTATAGAAAATACAGTCTCTTAAAAAATAAAACATCGATTACGTAATTTATTTTAGTTTTTTACGTCAAGATTTTTTTTCTATTTAAAGCGGGTTTTTTGCAGAAACTTTAGAAAAAATTATTTAAACAAAATTATAAATTTATAAAAAATTTGATTCGTAGAGAAAATATTATTCAGAGTTGCCACAGAAATTTCATTTTGTTTTTCCCTGACTTTTTCCTGACTGATTTTGACTTTTTCCCTGATCCTAAAGAATATTCTGCCATTTTCTCTAAAAATTATTAGATATACTCAAAAAACTGTTCTAATCAATTTATTTACGAATTTTCTTAATTGTAAATTCGAAAATACCAATAAATTCATTTTTAAATAAATATTTAATTATTATTATTCTTCCATAAGAATTAAAATTCTTCAAAAAATTCAAATTCAAAACTTTTTGAAATTCAATAATTTATAAGAATATTATTATAAAACATGAAGAAATCGATCACTCCGAGTCTTCGACTCGGAGCAATTAAAGATGACCGAGTGAGAAAAACATTATTTTTATTATTTTATATTATAAAAGAATATTGTTACTCTAACTTCTTCAAAATTATTTTCATCATTTCAATTCAATTATTTCTAAAAATTGCAATTATTAGGAACTTCTCCAAAATTAAATTAGGTATTATCTAAAACCTTAACTAAAATTAATTTTTAAATCAATTTTTATTAGAAAATTATACGAGAATTTAATTATACATCATTTTATCAACAAATTTTTAAATAATTGAATTCATTCGACGAATTTTAATAAAATTTTCAAAAATAATTGAATTCCTGAGAAGAATTTTATTATTTATGAAAATAATTGAAATTTTGCAATGAGTTTTATTACTTATGAAAATAGTTGAATTATTGCGAAAAATTTTATAAAAAAGATTCAAACAATTGATTTTTTTCGAAAAAATTTATGAAAATTCTATTTTTAATAATTGAATTCCTGTGGAATTTTCATTATTTTCAAAAATAATTGAATATTCGCGTAGAACTTTGTAAAAGTTGTTTTTAAATAATTGAATTTTTTTGGTAAATTTTGTTAAATAAATAGATTACAAATTATTGAATTAAGAAAATTTTTTGAAAATAATTGAATTCTTGTCATGAATATTATTATTTATGAAAATAATTGAATTTTGCAATGAATTTTATTAATATTTATGAAAATAATATTGAATTTTGTCGAAAAGATTTGTTATTTATTTATAAATATAATTGAAATGTTGACAATTTTTTTTGAAAATAATTTAATTTCTGGAAAGAATTTTAATATTTATGAAGATAGTTGGATTTTTTCAAAGAATTGCGTTAAAATTTTTAAAATTGAAACTAAGTAATAACTTTATGGCAGTTCTTCAATAGAATTAAGTCGTTTAAAATAAATTATTGTCAGGAATAGAAAAAATTGAAGTTTTTTTAGAATTCGTGGTAATTTCATAGTTTATGAGACAAACAAAAAGACACAAAAATTCATAATTTTTTTATAAATTCTAAAATTTGTATTTTTTCCAGTACTTTTAATAAAAATTCCTGAATTCCCGGATTTCCCTAATCTGTGACAACCCTGTTATTATTAAAATAATCATAATTTACGTCACTGACTGAAACGGTCATTATTAAAAAAATTATTTAAAAAATTTATTCAACCAAAATATATTTTTAATAATTAAAATAATATCTCGATTTCTATTAATTAATTAATGCTGGCGCTGTGAATATGCTAAAAATATATTTACTTTTAAAATCAAAAAATTGCGTTAATAATAGCTGAGAAGAAATTATCAATATATTAGAGTTATGAAATGTAAAAGTATAAATTTTTTTTTTGCAAGAAAACAATGTTTACTTTTAATAATTTGCAATTTAAATGTTTAAATTAAATATTAGATTTTTATAAAGTTAAAATTAATGTATTTTTTAAGGAATGTTAAATTGTTCTGAAAATATATTTGTTTTTTTTTATCAAAACGCACCTAAAGGCCTGAGCGGATGTCGGCTCCAGAGATAGTTCCGCTTAACAGGGCTAAGATAGCTGTCCCTCAGGAAGAAGGGGGTCCCACATTGTGCATATCTCGGAATATAAGGAGCATAACTGGGATACCACCATGGATCCCTATTGAAGGCAGTGATAGGTGCATTTGGTGAGGGTTCCAAAATATCGAACAATGGTTTCTTTCTCAACAACGATGAGTACGATGGCAAAATATCGTCCAGCAGATTTCCTGTAATATTTCAAACATTTATTAATTTTTTTTTTTTTTCATATTTTGCGATATTAATTAATGTTTAACTTCTTTTCTCGATATTTTCTTTAAATGTTTTATAATCCTTATATTTCTTTTTTATTTTAATTTCTTTTTCAAATTAACTCTCAATTCAAACAAATTTAGCCTTTATTACGTTTGAAATATTCAATAAAATAATTTTCGTTAATTTCTTACCGTGAATGTCGAAAAGTCTTTTCGGGGAAAGAATGCTCGGTGTATGACGAGACAAAAGAGGTGATTTGCTGGGATAAAGTCTGTCAATATCAGCCAAACGATTTAGATGATCATTCCATGCCTTGTCTGCGTCGAAGGGTTGCGCTATTTTTTATAAAAAAAACAACCATATAAATTTTTTTATCTTTCTCCCAATCCATAAATATTTATAATACTTGAGTAATTTTGAATCTTTTTTTTCTTCAAAAATATTTAAATTTTTAATAAGTTATTAAATATTATTGACTCTTTCTCTGTCACTTGCAGAGAAATTATTTTTCTAAAATGAAATATTTTTATTTTTAATTACAATTTTTATAACATCAATGAAATATTTTTTTTCTTATACAAAAATGAAAATTATTTTACCGTTTCATGTGGTATTTGCTTCTATAGAAAATAGACAAAACTTTATAATACATGCCTTATTTTTACTCAACAAAAATTTATCAGCAATATTTGATTGTCATTCGGTTTTTGATCGAGCACATCACAAAAGTGGTGACAAGGTAATAAAATAGTTGGAAACATTCAAGAATCTAGAATACAGAAAAGTGTCTCAACGCATCTGCTCTTGTGTATTTAAAAAATAACTTCTTCAAATGCAAAAAATTAAATTTTGAAAAGGTTTTTTCTTCTAACAAATATTTTCGTGCAACACACCAGCAAGCGTAGATTGTGTACGACGCTTGAGATTTTGAAATGAGTCAAAAAGTAAGGAAAAGTGAAAAAGAAATAATGTACTATTTAGAAATTACTAAAAATTGAAAAGAAATCATATAGTTTTCTACTCTTCCGTTTGTGTGACGGTTTTTATATTTTTTTTTATCAAAATGCGAGATATAAGCCGTGCATTTTCTTTCCCTCTATAGTACAATCAGTAACAAAGTTTATCGAATTCTATTATCTACAATAAGAGATATTTAAAGTAAAAAACAATAATCGCAAACAAAAATGACACATGAATATAAAAATATACTGACCTGTAAAAAAATGCGTCCAGTAAAAAATTCATCCCCTCCCCGTTTTACTTAATTGTTGTTCAGCACGCGAAGTTCAGTTGCAAAAAAGAAGTGCTGATTGTTTTTCCAAAACAGAATTTTTCCCGTAAAAAATGCTTAAAAGTTGTTGTTCTCGGTATATCACATATGACGCAAAAATTGTGTGTTAAAATGTATATAATTAATTGAGGGAACCAAACATAATTTTCTACGCGAATATCAAAATTTGATATTTTAAACCAACACTGAAAGAAATTTTTCTCTACTAACGTGACAAATTGTATTGAATTATCCAATTTTATCCAAACTGTTGGTTGTTTTAGCCGCAAACGGATTTTAGACGCGCTTAGCGCGCATAATCAACAAAACAGAAGGATAACATAACCTATAAATTGGTGACAGTCGACAGTCTCAATCTCAAACTGCGCTCCATCAAAACGGAATTCTCCGCTCAAATCTTCTCAAATCAAGTGGACCACAAGGATCAGAAGTTTATAATTACAAGGCAAAAATGTTATTTGGTAAGTATTTCTTTCAGTGAATGTTTAAAATGTCATGTTTATCGTTATTTTACACTTTTTACAGTTTACACGGTTTCACTCACATTTCAAACATTGAGAAAGAATAACTAATTTTCATAAAAAAAAATTTCTTTTTTAATTAATAACAACGGGGAAAAAAATTACATTTGGTGTAAAAGTGAAGTGGTTGAAAGGGTAAAGGTATTTGCATTAAAAGAAAACAGACATGCCATCTCCTGAAAAAGGCAGAAATTTTTCAATCACGATTCTACTTGTATCGAATATAACTCGATTAAAAATGCCATTAGCTTTGTTAGTATAATGCCCCTGTGTCTCGAATATTAATTTCAATAAAAGAATATAAGCGTTGCTAATATACTTTCTTCAATATTTCTTTTTTCAGATTTTCCTTTGCCAACCACGCTTTGATCATGCTCGAACATTCCATCAACAATACCTTTATAAATTATTGACGTTGAGAACTTTAAAATTAATCATCGAAATCTCATTAAAAAAAAATTGCAAGCTCAAAAAAACGGATCATCTCTTTGGATGTTTTTAAAAGGTAACACAAAAATTAATTAATTTTTGGAAAATTTAATAATTTTAATTAATTAAATAAAAGAAAAACATTAATTTTAAAATTTTAATTTTTGAATTATAAATTATAGTTTTTAAATTATAAATTGTAGTTTTTAAATTAAATTCAAAATTTTTTATTTATTAACCATCAAATTAATAGAACGAAAAGTTTAGAAAGATTTTAAAAATTACTCGCTAAAATTTCTAGCTTTTTCAAGTTTGGTGGCGATGTATAAATCAGTTTTTTTTCGTTTTGTCCTTTTTTCGTTTTCTGTATTTTCTCAAATATATCCTCCTACACCCTCTTTCGACGTATGTACAAATCGCGAACTGCTGAAAATGTTTGCTTTCATCTCAATAATTTCAAAATAACTAAATATAAATATTTAAAAACATTTAAACAGAAATAATGAATTTTGTATCAAGAATTTTTGAATTTTGCATAAATACAAAAATTCGATTTTTTCAATTCTGTTAAATGTAAACAGTGATTATATTCAATTGCTTTAATAATAATAACAATAATAATAATAATTATAATAATAGTAATTATAATAATAATAATTATAATAATAATTATAATAATAATTATAGTGATAATAGTAATAATAAAAATAGTAACAATAATAATAATTAATAATAATAATTGATAATAAATAATATATAAATGAAATTAATAATAAATTATATTATAAATTATATAATAAACTATATTTTTATATAATAAATTATATCTTACACTATATAATAAATTATACCTTAAATTATATCGTAAATTATTATTATTAATTATTCAATATATCGTATAATTCGTATTCACGATGATTTGCAATCATTTTCAACGCAGTATTTTCTAATTTCGTTGCTTATATTTATAAAATTTCACGACTGGTACATACGTATTTAAAATTATCAATTTTATCAATTTCGATTTACTTAAAAATTATAGATAATTATATATTAATTATTTAAATCCTTTCGGTTTCTTAAAACTAATTTTTTGTATTCGCACGCATGCATGTATAACCTGTATACAATAAATCGTGTTTCATTTCATCAACGATTGTGGAATCATGAAAAAATTAACCCCCAATATCCAGATTCGAAAAAAGCGACGATGTTCGAACATTTTTTCGAGAAAAAAGAGAGAGAAAAATTGAGAAATTTGTTTTTAATTTCCTTGGAATAATTCTGATTTTGTATTTTTACAGACAAGTTTGAAGATTCTGGAAGATGTGGCATTTTAGTTTCTCATCAGCGTTAAGACAATTATGTCTTTTTCAAAAAAGCGTTCCTTTGGGGGCCAGGGATAACGGATTCGGCCATGATGACACACGCAAGGGGAAAAAAGTTTTCTCTTATCTAGAAACAGAAAATTAGGCCTTTAGGTCACACCCACCGATCTCGAGAACAAGTCCTCTCACTTCGAGTTTTTAGACAAAAGGACTAAAAGGTAAATACTACATTTTTCTTCTAAATAAGTTTAACGAGAGTCAATAATTTATTGTTGCTTTAGAAAAAATAGTTTTAATTCGAAATTCTATTTTTACAGAAATTCAATATTTAGAAATATTTTTCTTTTTTTTTTGGTACTCCAGCCCTTGGAAACAATTCAGTATTTTTATTTAGAAAAAAATAAATAATTTCTTCTCATGATGCGAGAATGTAAAAAGAGATGAATGCTTTTCTAATATTTGAAATACACAATTGTCTCTCGGGGTGTTTGAAGAATATAAGGAAAAGGTGGAAGGGTCTTTTCGTTGTAACGTTTAATAATCCGGCACTTAGAAACGGGTCCGGTCATTTCTTTTCTTTCCCATTTTCGCGAAATCTGTTGTCGTTTAAGCTCGCTCAAGTCCAACATGCGATACATATACGTCCATTTGGAAGAAATAGACCCTGGAAAAAATCAGAATCAGAGTCGCTGCGAATAATGGAACATTAAACGAAGAAATGACTGCTTCGATGAAGAGAGAATATTGAAATATTTCCGGCAAGAGATGAACGAGAAAGAGACATTTTTCGACAGACAAAATTAATTTTTGGAGAGTGATTTTTATTAAATTCTCATGATTCCTAACAATCTACAAAACACAATATGATGATGATTTTCACTTAAAATGAAAATGAAGAAGAGAATTAATTCCCCGCCAGTTGAGATAAAGAAAACTTCGTACAAAAGGGGAAAGATTTCCTGGATTTTCTTTTCAAAAAATTCGGTTCCCAAAAGAAGAAGTGAAAATCCATTGGAATAGGAAAATGATAATTTTTTCTAAGAATGATTGATAAAGTTATACATCATGCGTGTTTGTGCATTGTGCGCGTGATGGAGTGTAATTATATAGGTACGACGATGTACAGATAAAAACATTACAGGATGAAATTAGTATCGTTACACATGTCTAACATGACGATATATAGACTAGATTAAACGTAATGGTTGCCATAGTTTAATTACTGATCGTTCCACGTCTAGTACATCGAATTTCAATCCCACGTAAACTTTGTGAGAAAAAAACAATTTTTTTTTACAAATCAGGAAAAATTTGTCTTGTTTACGTAAGATTGAAATGGAGGAATCGGGACTCGGATCAGGAAATAATCGTGCATCTTCGGATTTTTGTGCTTTCAGTTTCGGTTCCTTTTTAATTTTTCTAAAAATTTTCAATTTCGAACTTAACTTAAACTTACTGCGGTAACTATTTACTTTTTAAGTAAAATTAGATTTTTACTTATATTTACAGAATTTGGAAGTTTACTTGGAAGTAAAATTTGTATTTTACTTGAAGAACTATAAGTAAATGTTGCCATTTGGAAATTATTTTCAAAAATGAGCCAAATTTTAGGTTATGCTTATGATCCTTTTACTCATTTCATTTTAGCAGCTGTTTTTATTTTTAGAAAAAAGGAATTTTCATTAAATATTTCCTATGTCATTAGAATTTAAATAATCGTTAGTTTCCACTGAAAGTAAATCCTCATTATGTCACGAAATTAAAAACCATAACCTAGAATTTGAGGTCAAGTTTGTAATTTTCGAATTGAAAATAAGTCGATTAACTCTCAAGAGAAACCACCGAATTCTTCATTACATCTGAAAAAATTAACAAAAACTGATTTTACTTTTGTATAAGTAAACAGAATCTTCTAATTGATAAAAATACGGAAAACACGGAAAACAAGTAATAACGCAAACATAACCTAAAAATTAATTTGCTTATTTTGCTTTTTTGGAGCGCGTCAAAATTAAGATTCCGCTGTAATTCGTTGGCCTGACGATTTACATCACAATCTCAATTAGTCGATTTTCGGAAAAATTAAAAAAATCTAATCCAAATTGCAAAAATAGAAGCAAATTTTCTAGATTTAAATGACAGAAAGTGAAAGCACTGTGGAAATTACAAATGAATTCTTAGTATCTAGGAGATTCAGAGTGTGAGCGACGATTATTTGGTTGTTATATAGATATGAGGGATGTCATATCCGATGACATCGTGCGTTGTTTTTTTTTTATTTCATTCTCTTTGTTTATTGTTCACTGTTCATTTTGCATTCGTGTCTGTTTGCTTGCATTATTTTTGACACGTCGATTCATTTTAATCGTCGATCGGCTTCATGATTTAGAGTCTTGCGTAGTTTCGAGCTTTTTCGACACTGATCTGTTTTCATTTCGAGGGTTTTAGTACATACCGGGGACAAAGCGCTCTACTGGTTTGTATTGGTGCGGGTAAATCTGTCTCGGCGAGTAGCCATAGATCTCACGATGTACTGGCAGGTACCTGAAAAATAGAAATTACAATTGTTACAATTAATGAATTTATTTAATTTTTCAATTTTTTCTCTTGTTATTTAAATAGACATTTTTTTACTTCAATTTGAGGAAAAACGGAAATTTGTTTTTTTATACTATTTCAATTCTTTTTTGAAAAAAGGAACAAATCGAGTCAACCAATCAGATTGCGAGTTGTATATCGATTGCTCTCGATAGTATCGATTTACCCATCAGCCATTGCGGCTTTTGCTGTGTAGGAACATAACCTCATTTTGCTCGCTTTGTTTATTTTGTTTCTTGATTGACTCGAGCAAGAATTTCAGTTCTATTTGTTATTAAATTTATCAATTATTATTTACTACTGCTTGCTATTTGTGTATTTTTAACAGTGAAACACATAATTACAAAGTTCAAGAAAAGATATGAGTTCCTATCATTTGTATTGATTGGAAAAAGTCCTTCGAAATCGGCAAATTGGTAAAATCGGAATTCTAAACTTACAAATTTAGTGAAAAAAATACTGTCTATTTTTTGAATTGTTAAAATATTAAAATTACGTAGTAGGTAAAGGCATTGTTCTAATTTTCTCACCTATAACCAGGAACATTGATGCGGTCAGCGGCGTGAGCGGGATCGTCGAAAATTGATTTTCCGTACGGCCATGATGCGGAATGCAGTTCAGGGAAATCGGAGCGGAAAATACCACGGGGCCTGTGAGTGTGTTCTGGAGCCCTCATGTCGTCTGTACCTGAAGATTCATGTTCAGCATTAAACTCGGTAATTGAATTTAAACTTAAATTATACATTAAATTAAATTCGAGCTTTAATTTTAGCACTCGGGAAGTTTGTATATAAATAACTAAAATAGATTTCGACATATTTGTTAATTTCCTAGTTTTCTTAAATGCGCATTTTGCACGTAATTACAATTTCAAAATTGCGTAACTTAATCAGTATATAAATTAAAATATAAAATTAAATATAAATTATAAAACTATATAATCTAAAACAAGAGTTTTGTGTTAATTGTGTAAATGAAAGTTACCTTTTAAGGCTCGTACGTAACTTTGCCAGAACCTGGCTTTTCTTGTGATTGGTTCGTTGCGCCCGATCATATCGAGATTGCTTCTGAATCTTGCGTCCATTTTTGTTGATCTACTGTTTTGCTAACTGCTCGTTTGCTGAAAATCGAAAGAAAAAATAGTTTATCATTTTGCATTAATTTTGAGGTTAGGTACATAATTCTCGTGTTTTCAGTCTGCAAATAATCTCCGGAATCGAAACAATTTCGTATAATAGTTGAAAAATGAATAAAATAATACAATTTTGCATTAATTTTGAGGTTATGTGCGTTAATAATGATTCTCGCATGTTTTGAGGGCAAACAGGGCAAATAATCTCCGGAAGCGAAACGATCTGAATTTAAATTTATAAAGTGCTGCTGATTTATTTCTATAAACGAAAATAATCTAAGTGGTTTTTGTTTAATCATCTTTATTTTCGAACATGAATGGATTTTAAGAGAGAAATTTTCAAGTAGTTACAAGTGCGATGATTTATTTTTAGTATCGGAATTATTGAAAGATGATCGATCAACGTCAATGAGCTTTTAGCATTTTGGCATCGAGTTAATTCGAATTTTATCGATAATACGTAGGCGTCTTTTTAGACGCCACCGCGATGTTCTGACAAACAAAAATATTTTTAGCGGTTTAATTTATTGTATCTATAGCGCCATTTCTTCATAGAAATTCGTGAAATCAATTTTCCAAATTTTCACGAGAGTTTTTTCATAGAAGAATTATTTGAAAATACTAAATTACCAATAATAGCAAAAATCTAGAAATAGGGAAAAATTATTAATTTTTACATACTTTTATCAGGTGGAAATCATTTTTGAAAATTTTATATAATATAGTTTCTCAATAAAGCGTCAAGGGAAATGCTTTTCATGATGCATCACGGTTCACGTGATAACCAAAGTAGTCATTAGTGATGTTTCTTGTCATAAATCTTGCAGAAATAGGTCATGACAGTTAATTTCAATGGTAGAAGAGTATTATTGATTTGTTAATGTTTTGTAATAATTCTTCCAGTTGTTGCGGTAAAATATTAGCCTCGATATTCGAACCAATAGGAATTCACAATGATTGCAAATTTAATTCAGTTGTAGATTTGTCGAAAATTTTACTTTTTTACAACTTTAACTTCAAAAGATTTTTATTTCAAATTTTGTAGAATGTCAATTTTAAATTAATTTAATTAGAAGTTTTTAAAAATTTTAAAAACTAAAATTCTTCAAAAATTTATTTATGAAAATAATTTGTAAATAATTGAATTCCTGTGAAATTTTTATTATTTATGAAAATAATGAAATGTTTAATTTACATAAATAATAAAAATTTCACGGGAATTCAATTATTCACAAATTATTTTCATAAATATTTTTTACAGGGATTTAATTATTTTCATAAATACGTAATGAAATTCATCGCAGACTTTCAATTATTTTTAATACAATTTTAATGGAATTTCTCGAAAAATGTAATTGTTCTTAAAAATTTTATTAAAATTTATCAAAGAAATTCAATTATTTTTAAAACTTTTGCTACGATTTATTTATTAGAATTTAAGTATTATTTTCAATACATTTTTAATTGAATTTCTTCAAAGAATTAAATTATTTTCACAAATTTTAATAAAATTTGTAATAATTCAATTTTTTTCAAAATAATTTTAATAAAATTCTTCGTAGAAAATTAATTATTTTCAAAAATTTGTCAAAATTCAATTATTTAAAAAAAAATTTTAATAAAATTTGTCTGAAGAATTCAATTATTTTCAAATGAAATATAATTCTTCGCAGAAATCCAATTATTATGTTAAAAAATTTACGAAAATTCTCAAAAAATTTCTATTGTCTTTATAAATAATAACATTTTTTTCCAAAATTCAATTATTTTCAAAAATTTCAATTATTTTTAATACAATTTTCATGAAAATTTTCGAAAAATAAAATTATTCTTAAAAATTTTATTAAAATTTGTATTTATTTATTTTACAATATTAAAAATATTATTAAAAATATATTTGTTGATAAAATTCTTTATGAAGATTCGATTTTAAGAAACATTTAATTATTTAACAAAATATTTATTTTTGTAGTGAAATACTTGAATTTTTGTAGAATTTTCTAATAAATATTGATTTAAAAATGAATTTGAGTTAAAATTTTAGATTATTAAATATTGAAAGAATTATAGCTTGAATTTTTAGTAATAATTAAATTTTCAAAAGGTTTCAAATTAAAATTTTTGAAAATTTGAACTTTTAAAAGTTCAAAAAAAAGTATAAAAATACATTTAATTAAGAATCCTGTATAGAAATAATTTTTTTCGAAAAGTTAAATAGAATTTTTTTTTAATTATTTAATTTTAATTATTTAATTCTAATATACTTAACTAAAAAATGGGAGAATAATCGAAATTTCGTAAAATTAAATTGCAAACAAAAGAATTTGAAAATTCTCAAAGAACTTTTTCAAAAATTATTAAAAAAAAATTGAAGAATTTTAGTTGACAATTCTAGAAATGAATAATCGTAATGATAAAAATAATTTTTGAAGAAGTTACAGTAAAAAAATAGCAAGTTATAATTATTATATGTTATTTCATTTGAAATTCGTTCAAATCTGCATTTTTTGATTGAAATAATTTTTTTGTTAATTTAGAAAAGAAACCGCTCTATAATTGTTTAATTTTTTATGTAATTTTGATTTAATTCTTGCAATTTTTGCAAATATTTGAATAGTAAATAATATTCGTTCAAAATTTCGAGAAAATTTTCCAAAAATAGTTTTAATAAAAAATGTTTCGTTTATTTGTACGTTTCAAAGTTTGTGGATTATTTTCACAGAGAATAATTGGAAAGAGAAATAATGCTTAAAATAAAACTTGAAAATTATAATTAATCGTTGAAAAGAGTGAAAAGAGCAGTTTCGCAAGATTAAATTCGTTAAGAAGATAATGTCAGTTACAGTAAGCCAGCTGATCGGACACGTGGGGAGCGCCGATGCCAAATTACTTTGCTCGTCTGACAAAAATTGACCTCTTCTACTGACTGTTTAAAAAAAACTGAATCATTATAGTAAAATTCTTTTTTTTCGATTGTCATTTCTGAAATGACTATTTATTCGTCTTTTTTTACAAAAAAAAAAAAAATTTACAATAGTTTCTTTTTATCTATTTTCATTTATATTCAGTTTTGTTCATTTATGTTCATTTTTGTTTATTTTTGTTCAGTTTTGTTCATTTTTGTTCATTTACGTTCATTTATGTTCATTTTTATTCATTTATATTCAGAAATACGAAATTAGGGATTATTAGGGAAATAAATAAAAATTAGGGAATACAAGTCTAAGTTGTTAGTGGATTAAAATTTAATTGCACACTTTTTTTCTCTCTAGAAATTTTGCCGAAAGAATTCGTCTATTCTGAAATGTGGAGGAAGAAGATAAAAAAAAAGTCTGAATTCGACTGCGACGAATTATATTCGAAGGCGTGACGCAATATTGGTTAAATCTCTCTGTCTTTGCGGCCGCTAAATTTAGGTTGCCCGGGCCGGGCTGTTTTTAGTTTTGAAAACAGGTGGACGTCCAAGTACGACCGTTTACGTTGGTGGAACAAAAACGATGCGACACGTCTCTGTCCCCATGCACACGCATTTATATACAAACAAGTGAGTCTTGTTGACTTTGACCGATTTTCAACCTCCTCTGAATTTACTTTCCCCCATTAAAACTACACACCAATTAGTTGACTTTGACCTTGCTGTTGCAATTATTTTTAACGCAAAGGTCATTTCCAAAGGGAAAACAAAATTTCTCGAAATAGAAGAAAGTTCATGGGAATTTAAATTTTTTTCTTGTTTTGCTATTCTTTGTTCTATGCGTTGGGGAAAAATTTATTTGAATCGAGGAGACGATTAGTTGTCTGTTATTAAATAAATATTTGAATTGAGAAGACGATTAGATACTTGTTTATTGTCAAATAAATATTTAATTGTCTCAAGTAATTTTTATTTGTGTCAAATAATTTTTATTTGTATCCAACAATTTTTATTTAAGTCAATTATGTGGTTTTTCTTTCAAATACAATTTATTTAAGTCACTTAATTGGTATTTGTCTAAAATACTGAATTTATTGGTTCAAAAACAGTTTATTTAAGTCAATTAATAGTATTTGTTTCAAATACTGAATTTAATGGTTCAAATGCAATTTATTTGTTGTTTGAATCAAATCAATTTTTTTTTCAATCTTCGTTTGAAATTTCTTTCAGTCTTTTTGTCAAAAAGATTCGTTTTGTCTGGAGGATTAATTTCCTGCTTGAATTAAATTATATTGTATAATCAACAATGATTCGCAAAAATTTGAAAAAAAATGATTTAAAAATTCGATTTTAAATTTGGAAAGAAAATATTTTTTTAACGAAGGAAATAACTGAATATTAAAAATAGGAAAGTTTGACGAATTTGCTAAAGATTTCCAATTTCTTGTAATTATTCGTATTTATAATCAAGTAGTAAATTAATATATTATAGTAGATTATAATTTTTCTAGATTGAAATGTAAACATCTATAAAGAATATATACAGACAGGAAATGCTTCCTGTTTGTCACTAGTGTGTCATGAGCTAAGAATGCTAACCTTGACTTCTAATAGATTGCAAAAGGAAGTGCCATATTATAATTAATCACAATTGGTAAACAAAACATTAATAGTGCAACGAACCTTGAGTCACTATTCTTTATTTAAATCATTATGAAACCAAAATATATAACACTAGAGTATTATATATTTTTGTTTCAAAATATATGTACTACAAAACGTAGGTACAACGAATAATATATTTTCTCAAAAATAATATATTTTCACGACTCATTTCAACACTTCAAAAATATTTACAATTTTTCACATTTATGTTTAATTTATTATGTATTTATTTTTAGTTATTATTTATTGAGGAAAAAACAATTTAAACAAAAAAATTAGTTTAATATCTTTTTTCTAAATTTAATTGCGGAAATTTTTTCCACTCGTAATTTTCTGGATTTGAATTTTAACAAAAATTACAAGAAATTGAAGAAAAAACAAAATTTCGATTGTTTGGTGGACTAAATTT